TAGGCGAACATGCTGCTGCGGCATGAAAGTTTGTGAACCGAACGCCTTCCTTCGCTAGGCGGTCAATGTTGGGCGTTCTGATTTCTCCGCCAAAACATGCGGGGTCCGAGAATCCTAGGTCATCTGCGAGGATGATTAGAAAATTCGGCCTTTTGGTTTCGGTCGCGGTTGATGCCATGGTATTCTGCACTGAGTCCTGTCACACGGTAGAAAGGAGGTCGCGTATGCGATGACACGATAACATGAAGGGAAAGTTGTGGAAAACACCCGCTTTTATACGTCTTCATCATATTATATCCCTTTCGGAGTACCCTATTCTTTTTTTTTGTCTTTACATAATACTTGGTCACATCATTGAAAGAGCTTTCTTCCAATGCTTCCAGAGGGATATGCTGTCGGATATCGCGCGATATCCGATGAAGCTGTTTAGTTCTTTGCCGGCCCCAAGCGGGGGCATTTGTGGAATAGAGTGCCGTGAGTGGCTGGCGAGATCTCCGAAGCTAAAGTCAATGAAAGCGCCAGAGTCGCGCGAGTTCCGTAAACCACTCGGATATCGGGCTCACCTGAATCGTATAGATTCCCCAGATTATAGACTCCATTTGACACAATCTGGGGCCTCCATGACACAATCTGGGGCCCCACGGGACGAGAGTTAAAATTCTAATAAGATGCTGTATATCTCCCTCCATCTCCCATGCGATCAACTGGGTTCATCTTGAGCTGGAGATTTGCTTCTCAAACGAACATTATGGTTTTTACTTATTCGCTGGGCAACTTCCGTGCCATCTATCTTGTGTCGCTTTGCTGCATCGGGTATGTGTTCATCCGCTGGCTCAAGTTCAGACAAACTCGAGAACGACGCTCTTACGAATCCACTACAGGTCTTTTTTGTTCGCTTATGACACTGGAATTGTTGGTTAGTTAACCTTGACACATTATTGCAAATCCAGTTTGTTGATTCTGTTAGGTGGTGTCTTGACACTATCGGCTTTTCAAAATGATTTCAGATATACCAAGGCTGAGGCGACAAGCATCAACTCAAACTGTGTCTCTATCCTTCAGGCTGGCGCGTTCTTTGGTTGTTTTCTGATCTGGCCATTCACTGCCCGTTACGGACGACGCATGTCCATCGTCCTAGCCTCGTTCATCTTCAGCATCGGCGGAATCCTCCAGGTCGTCAACACACACTCCATCGGTGCTTTCTACGCCGGTAGAGTCATCTCCGGGTTTGGCGTGGGCGCCGCGACCGTCCTAGTGCCTATGTATTCTGCCGAAATGGCACCCAAAAACATGCGCGGTCAGCTTGGATCCTGCTTCCAGCTATTCTTTGCCCTTGGCGTGTGTGTCAGCTACTGGTAGGGCCCCCTAATCTCCCTGTTTCAAAGGCCTGAGCGTACGGCGCTTATACCTATCTATAGGATCAATTACGCAGTTCAGACCCGTGTTCCGTCCAGCACCCTGCAATGGCAGATCCCTATTGGACTCCAACTCGTTCCGGGTGGCCTCATCGGCCTGGGTATGCTCCTCGTGAAGGAATCTGTCCGATGGCTAGCAAAGCAGGGACGAAACGAAGAGGCCTTGGCCAATCTTATCTGGATTCGCGGCGGTGATAGTCCTGAGGTACAAGACGAATTTGAGGAGATCCGCTCTAGTCTTGACGAGGAGTCCCGCCTTACCGAAGGCATCTCGTGGAAGGAGCTTCTGCTGCCAGTAAATCGGTTCCGTGTCTTCGTCGTTGTCACCATGCAGCTCGGTGTCCAGCTTACTGGGAACACATCTCTTGCGTATTATGCTCCACAAATCTTCGCCGCTGTCGGCGCGGGCAACTCCTCTCTGTTTGTCACGGGGTTTTTCGGGGTTGTCAAAGTTGTCTCCGTATCTGTCTTCTGCATCTTTGTTGTCGGAAGGATTGGGCGAAAGACAGCTTTCATGGGCGGTGCGGCAGCGATGGGCATCCTAATGCTCATCATTGCCATCATTGTTGCAAAGGCCCCACCCACTGGTCATATAACCGGCTCGTCTATCGCCGCGATCATCATAGTATACTGCGAGGCCGCATCTTACAACTTGTCCTGGGGCCCCGTGTCTTGGCTCTATCTGGGTGAGATTTTCCCGACTCGCACTAGGGAATTTGGAATCGCAATCGGAGCTGCTGCACAGTGGCTGTTCAACTTCATGCTTTCACAAATCACGCCACATGCTATCAAAAATCTCGGCTGGAAGACATTCCTTATGTTTTCAATCTTCAATTTCTCTCTGGTGGTTTATTCTTTCTTTATACTTCGCGAGGTAAGTTTAACAATCAGCATACATATAGACCGCCAACTAATTGATTGCCGACAGACATCAGGTAAATCCCTTGAAGAGATGGAAGAAGTATTCGGGTCGAAGCAAAATGCCATTGACGTTGAAACTAGCCGAGTCAGCCCGGAGGAGTTGGAAGCTCATAAAATGGGCGCCGATCAGATGGTCCGCCATGTTGAATAATAAGCGCATAGATAAATATTGCAGCCTATGAAAGTTATTCTATAATAAGTAGGCTATAGAGTTCTTTATTGCCTGAGACCAAAAATAGTTATTGATAATGGCTTATACCTTTAAATTAACTGCTTCCTAATATACTGAAATATTTATGAAAAATAATTGCTATTAGATTTTATTTTAATGAGCCTGACCGAATGGCGAGACGACTTGCGTTTGGCACTGGTGAGCAGTTATGGTGCTTCTGGTAACAATGCGGCCACTGTCGTTGCGCCTCCACCTCCTCGATCTTGACAGATGAATCGTTGCGAGATCCGTTTCCGTCAGGAAGTTCGTGTTAAGTATATACTCTTAGCTGGTCCCAATTTACAAGGACATTTTCCATTTTCTATTAAAAAAAGCATATGAAACTTATTTTATTGTAATAACAATAATACAAAATAAGATGGGGAAACAATTTTTGTAATACACTTTAGTGTATAAACTCTTCATGAGTATTTTAGGCTAACACTAAATTGCAGGCAAAAGGAGCGAAAACGATGATGTCTCTCTTCTGCTCCGCCAGGTTAAAAATCAAGCTTACATCGTCACAAACAACATGTAGCCCGTAATCACAAATCCAGAAGATATATCGCCAAAAAAAAAAAATTTGATGAATCATGTGAATAGCTCGCCCACGCATAGTTGGAATTCGTACCATGGCTAGATGCAAGGAATAGCTTCGTTCGAATCCAGTACTCAATTGCCTGCGAGATAATGAGCCAATGATCTTTCAAGTGCACTTCACTTATACCGCCATTTGTTACATACCTAGTACCTAGACTATACGCTCCAAAGACACAGTTCAAACATGTAGCTGGCCCGGATGTAAACGCGGCTATATGGCAGTAATCGCCGGATCTGCCGCTTGTGTTCTCGGACATTATGATCTGTCATGACCGAGGCTAAACCTTCCTTCGTTTACAACGTCCCTTCATTGGGCAACAAAGTAAATAACATCGCCCACTGCGCCAAGGATCATCATCCATCGCTAGTGGTTCATTCGCGCACCAATCTCACAGTTTCCCACAGAGCGTTCAAGATCTCCGGTTCAGGGGTTGCAACATTTATTTGGTAACTCAGAACAAGTCCCGGGCACGGAAACTGCTATCTCCGTCCGTTAATAAAGAGCTTTGACAAAGAAGTACTCGTAGGATTTCTTGACCGAACCAGTATAAAATAGGATGGACTGGTATTGAGATCTATGGCCACCAGATGCTCCTTTAGACGACAAACACTTTATTTCCTGCACTTGTCATCAACTAAAAAGGCGTATCGCTGACAGCTTTCATCATGCCTCAAGTTCAAAGAAAAACCATCTTTATTACCGGTGCCTCAGGCTATATCGGTTCCAAGATTACCGAGCTGGCCATTACAGACGGTTTCATCGTTCGAGGGCTGTCTCGGTCCGAAAAAAACGACGACAAACTTCGTGCCATTGGTGCCGAGCCTGTACGCGGTTCCATTGACTCCTTTGACGTGCTAACCGTCGAAAGTGCCAATGCCGACATTGTCATACATTTAGTCGACACATGGATGGCGCACTTCAACGAGGACTATTCTGCTGTTGTGAAAGACAATAACCTTGCTATTGATGCCATCACCAAAGGCATCCAGGGAACCATGAAACCGCTCATCGTAGCATCAGGCTCGGCGATAGTCAGGCCAGATCCGGAGCATAATGAGACTGATGAGACGAGTCCACTCAATATCGACGGGATCAATCGCCGATACGAGAGCGAGCAATACGCACTCGATCAAGAAAGCAAAGGCGTTCGTGTTTATTCGATCCGCTTGGCACCTTATGTTTATGGCCATGGCGGCAGTGGAATTGCACTCTTCATGCAACTAGCCCTGCAAAGAGGCACGAGCGTATACGTTGGCGATGGATCGAGGCGAACCTCTACCGTCCACGTCAACAACGCGGCACACTTATTCCTGCTGGTAGCTAAACAAACTCCCGCAAGCAGTATATACAACTGCACGTCCGATGACTATGTGAGGGTGGGCGACTTGGCAAAGGCGATGGCAGAGGCGCTTGGAATTCCGGTCAAATCCGTGACAGAGGAGGAAGCCATTGCGCAACTTGGACCAGCTTTGGGCAAATTTATTAGTCTTGAGAATATAGCCTCTAGTGCAAAAGCAAAGAGGGATTTGGGCTGGAAGCCAAAGGAAGTCGGAGTCCTTGAGGACATAGCTGTTGGCTCCTATGTCGCTGTTGCTGAGAGCCTCAAGAGCAGCTCTTCGTAGAGGAGGTTTTGACTCATAGCCTCAGCATTAATCGCAGCGACTCTAGTTCGCTAGACGTGGAAAACGTGATAATTAAAAGATTTCGAATTGATGATGTACCAAGTCCCACCCAATATTCGGCAAATGCAAGGCGAGTAGTGTCCGCTGCTGTAGAATCCTCTGCCTTGCTTTCTCCAACATGAGCTGTGTTTCATTCGGTTAATAGTATAGTCGAGCCACGCCGAGCCGAGTTATTCACCCTTGACAAATACCAGCTCATCTGGATGGCTCAAGTTTGCGCGTAGCCGTAACCCTCGCTCCTCCAGAATCCGATTTCCACTGGCGCCACCGATATCGATTTCCTCTGCCTCGAAGCCTCTCATTTGTGCAAAGAGCAAGGGCAGTACTTCGTTTTTCCACACTTCCACTCCGCTCTGCCGCGTAACGGCAATAGCTGCAATGACTAGAACAAACGACAGCACGGCGAGGGCGATAGGCAGCGCCAACCAGCCCCAGCTGACGTGAATAAATGTCTTTTCTACCAATGTCTGGCCTGCATTTGCCGTGCTGTTCTGACTCGATCGGATAGGCTCCGTCATACTAGAGGCCAGTCTGTTCATAGCTGCGTCTATGTCTACTTCAAGGCCTAGACGTGAGCCCACCGGTGGTGCCTCGGGCGCGTTGTCGAGATACACCAAGGCATTCGTATTTATCGTGTTGATGCCTTCACTGAAAAATCCAGTGGAGAATAATACTGACAGATAGCTATTGAGGTTCTCGAAGTCGACCTCTTGGAATGAGTAGTTACCCACGGCACTGGAAGTATTGCTATACAGAGTTAAGTAAGGTGGGACTGTGTTTGCAAACAACAGGCTGTCTTCTTCGGGCGCTGTCACATTTATCACACCATTCGTGACGTTGATAAAGGGATACGTCTTTGCACAGAGGCTAAGCGTACAGGACCATCCCGCTACAGGCAGATCTCTCAGATCATTGACGCTGGTTGAATTGGGCATTGTCAGTGCCTGAACTGCTTCAAAGCTGATGAGAGTCGCTGGAGCGTCAGTCGCCTCCGCGTTAGTAAATAAAGCGCTGGCATTCCACTGTGTGCCGAATATTCCCTGTGCACCGGTAACCGTGGCAAATACAGTCATGAGAGTCTGGTTGTGTGGTGTTTTGAAGTCACACTGAGATATGCCGGGACTGACGGTCTCCAGGAAATCGACAAACTGCGAATTGGTGCAATTTCGGGTTAGTTTAGACGTGATGTCCTGGCACGACGAGCAGACTCCAAGTGTGTGAATGTCGGTCCATGTGCAGTTCCCGGATGGGCAGGTTAGGCTCGGTTGAATGCTATCCAGGTATATGCCCTGCATGATGGCTGCGTTCATTGCCGGATCAATGTTTCCCACTGCAAATAAATCAGGACTTTGCCTTACCACCAAGTAAATTACTACTTACACAATGCAAACCCCGGAACGCCACGGTAGTTGGATGGCGTGTAATTGCGAGCTGCACTGAATGTTGATAACAGCCCTGTATCTTCCACGAGCTGGGAAGGAAAGCTGAAAACAAGTTGCACAAATGGATCCATCAGCAGCCCCGCAATGGTTATCAGCGCTGCAAAGCAAGCAAGAAGGGAATGTCTATGTTGGCGTAGAATCAAGACAAATCCGCCCCAGGGCCCCCGGCTCGCTCTGTCAAAGACACTGAGATCGGCGAGACGCCTGGGCTGGCCATTGAAATGAAGCCATTTGAGTTGGCCTAGGATCTCAGTGATTGCCAGCATGAATGATGCCTTTGCGAGCGTAGCCAAAAACGAAATTACGGCAGTTGGTGAGATTTCCAGGCTCCACTGGTCCAATTGTCTCCCGTCTTCGTACTTGAGAACGATTACGATCGCAGCCAAGCAGACTAAACTGAAGATGCATGAGACAATCTCCCACAGCCACAATTTGGCAAAGACATCTTTTATCCCCAGACGCGCATGCTGAATTCTCTGACGGTCATTTTTCTCTGTGTGTGGTAAGTCTGTAACCAGTGGTGGTGTGACACTGACGTCTGGCTCGAGAGGTACGGGTTGGTAAATGTCCGGTCTTGAATCGTCTACTTTTTCTGAAAGTGTCGGCTTATACATCGTAAGAGCTTTTACTCCAACAGACGAGCTTTCGAAATTTCCACGTATTTGTGATCAAAGCTGTAAAGAGACAGAAATAGATTACGGGGGGGCACCATCATCCTATATAGTCTGTCATTAATTCTCCGCAGGTGCATTTGCTGCCATTGCTGCATGAGCAATAGAAGTATGTAAGAACAGGTCATGACGGAGTTCGGCCGACCAGGGGGAGAATTAATTTGAAGAGGCGACTTGACTATCGCTGCAAGTGGGTGGAGTTTGCGATGTGCCGACTGATCCTACAACGGGCGATCAAGTACTCACGAGGGTCTATGTGTATGAAGGTTGCGTGAGAACTACTAATACTCTAACTGCTGTGAGACATCTACATGGCTTATAATAGTAACATCCACCACACAGTCGGTGCCGGTGGAAATATTGCGTCCGCGGCCTTGTCTACTGTATGCAAGATCTCGCACGAAAATTCCAAATCCAGTCAAACGGCGTCTGTATCAGCACAACCATTGGCGGGAGAGCGGCAGCCGGTGCTTTTGGACCATTCCTAAAAAAGAAAGCGGGCGTCGGTTTTCGCTTCAAGATGGAGCTGCGGCAGCCATAACAGCGCCCGAGCACATTAACACATCTGACACACATCATGATGCACCGGGATATTTCGCCTCCTCTGCTGAACTAGAGCTGGATCGCCAAAGCTACGAATGGCCAAGCATCTGACAGAACGCAATACCTTTATTTTAGAGTATTGCTATTTTCACCGTAGAATATTGCTATTTTCACCGTAGTAGTCTACATCATAAGCTAGATTTACCCCCATTGATCGCACTTACCACACCCATACACCAAGTTACAGTGCAGCACACTGGGAAGGAAGATCATACAACATAGATTTCACACACAACACTATAGACTATCAATCTGCACCAATTCGTTCAAAAATGACGATTCCGACCCTTCCAATTCAACCCTTCCAATTTGATTTAACCACTTCCCACGGGCCGGCTAATTCATCTGGCTCGTCGATCTGAGTGGTTGGGATGACTCGGGGTCCGTCTCGAGGGCGGCGGCAGCTATCGCGGCTTTATGTCCTCTTGTTGTTCTAGTTACCTGCGAAGTTGGGCGTAACTGCGAGCCCCTCGTCGACTGTGACGGAGCACCCCGGCTGCGGCTCTGTGACGGCCTCAGCTTTGCGATCTTAAACTCCGCGATCTTAAAGGTCTTGTGTAAAGTTGTTAAGTACGTGGTGTGCCAGGGCACCGCACTGTAGTTAGGTGTGGATTAATGGGACCGATGGTGTGTGTACATTAATTTTAGTACGGTCACGGACCACTACGGTGAAAATAGCAATATTCTACGGTGAAAATAGCAATACTCTTATTTTATTTTCCTAAGCGGAAGATGGGCAACGCGATAGGGAGATCTTGCTCGATTCCGGATCTATATGTTGACTTCCCCGCCAGACTCACTTACACAGGTAGTCGTTTTTGTGAGACCGTCTACATCAGCTTCGAGTCCTACACCTAGCACAACAATTCCATGCTTTGAATGTGATTCCATGAATTCCAAAGCTATTTCTAAACAGTTTTTTTCATAAATCTGCATGTAAATCACTCTATACATTGTACTAGATTGATTTAATTTGACGTAGTCCGAGAGAATACAGGGTAGCATGTAGCGATGCGGACCTGATGACCTGTTCGGCAATTCGGCAACTATGTAGGAGGAACACCTTGTCCGATACTGTGACCTTCTAACGTGTCTGCTCTCTGAGACTACTTGACTACGGATGCCATAGCAGTTTGACGTTAGCGAGCACCGGTGGATCGCAACTCAAAAGGAACAACGGAATCGCAGATAGATGCACCGATTTACCAAGTACATATCTGAAGTTGAGTCGTGAAATGTGCGGAGTTTAGTGTCTAGGATGTAGAGATGGCCGTGGGGGCGTAAGACTACATGTACAATTTCACGCACCGGGACACGCGTTCACCACGTGCCAGACAATAAGTGGCCGGGATTGCGAATCCATCGCCAAGTACGAATACGCTAGCTTGCTCGCTTTTGCAATGCTTAGAGCGCCATCCCTGAAGAAGATCTCAGTCACTTTTTAGTTATCGATATGGGCAACGTCTTATCGATATGGCTAGCTTAGCTAGCCTGACTAGGAAAAGTCCCGTCCCATTCGCGCCTGCTCATTGTCCATCAAGAAGCCGTAGTGAAGGCTTCTTGCATCTCCACGGCCGAGTCACGTGTGCGGGGTCAAAGGTCTTGAGCGCCATACCTGACGGCTAAATACCGGGCTGATCTGCCACATCGCCATTCCCAGCCTCCCATTGGCCAGGCTTGCCCGTCCATCTAGTCGCTTAGGTAAGGACTAGTCTAACCTCAAACAGGCAGTCGTCACGATGGCTGCATAAGAGACTTTGGACTCGGATTTTGATGAAGTCAAGCGTTAGTAAACACGCCTAGACAAAATGTAAAATGACTCTTTCATAATTTGCTACGGAGCAATAAGTTGTTGGAACTGTTATGTGGGTTGTATTCATTTAGTTTCAGCTACGCCATATAAATTCCCACGGCGTTGCAGCGGAGGCAGCCTGGCATGATATGCGGAAGTTCATTCAGCGATTCGAAACCTCAGCTTTACTTCACCTAAATCTTGTCGCTTTTTGAACACTATTTGTAGCATTAAACATGACTCAATTCAAGTTCCGACTGCCACGTCAACCGTTTCTACATGGGAAGTTTGTCGACTCCCAGTGCAAGGACAAATATGAGCTTACTTCAGCCACTGATGGATCTCAAGTGATGGCCGGTTCGTCCTCTTTGTATTCAGAAAAGAGACACTGCATGCTAATTCTTTTTTTTTTTTTTTTTGAGCCTGACAGATCTCCAATGGGCTGCTGTGGAAGATGTAGAGCTTGCTGTAGATTCTGCAGAGAAGGGCTTGAAAGAGTGGCAAGCACTCTCGCCTGTGTGTTCCATGAACCCCCATTAATCCAATATCACATTGAAGATAACATCTGTAAAATAGGAAAAACGTCGCCATTATTTGATTCGATACGCGGATTTGATAGAATCTCATGCTGAAGAACTCGCATATCTCGAGGTCATTGTTACGGGAAAGCCAATGGTTTTTGCTTCTGGCTATGAGGCTCCCCAGCTTGCAAACATCCTACGATGTAAGTCATGATATGTCGAGAAGCTTTTCTTTGGACTTCAAAATCTGACGATGTCAAGATTACGCAGGATACACAGACAAGTTGAGCGGTGAGAGCTACCCATTAGAAGATGGACTTCTTAAAGTGAGTCTCCAGCAACTAATCCTCAGATAAACTCGAAACATGCAAGTCCGTGCGTGTTAAGTGTTCACAGATGGTCGTACATGAGCCCCTTGGTATTTGCGCCGCCATAACGGCTTTCAACAGTCCCATGATTCTTTTCGCCTTGAAAGTAGCACCGGCGCTCGCCTCAGGGAACGTAATGATTGTCAAGGCTAGCGAGTTCAACCCTTTGTCATCGCTACGTCTGGCAGAACTCGCCACAGAAGCAGGGTTACCGGCTGGCGTCATCAACGTCTTGATCGGCGGCGCAGACGTGGGAAATGCTCTCGCTACTCATAAGCGTATTCGAAAGATTAGTTTCACAGGTAGTGTTGCTACGGGCAAGAAGGTTCAGATTGCAGCGACCGAGTCCAACTTGAAGAGGGTGACCCTGGAATTGGGTGGCAAGTCACCGGTTGTCATCTTCCGAGATGCCAACTTGGACAATGCTGTCCGAGCTGCTTCTAATTTTCTGGCCTTCAATGGCCAGGGCTGCATCCTTGGGACGCGCATACTCGTTCAAGAGGAGATATCAGTCACCTTCCTCGAGGCATTGAGGCAGCTGATTCAAGAGCATACCAAAACGTTGGGCTCAGATCCAATGGAGCTGTCCACGCTATCATGCCCTATATTTCATGAACAACAGTATAATAGGGTTGCTGAACTTCTTGATATGGGGAAACAAGAGGCCGAACTTTTCGTTGGGGGATCGGTGTGCCATCGCCCGGGGTTCTATGTGGAGCCTACCGTCTTCATCAATCCCAAGCCAGGTGCGAGGATCCTGCATGAGGAGATCTTTGGGCCGGTAGCCGTTGTCCAGACATTCAAGACAGAGTCCCAAGCAATCGAAATGGCGAATGATACGGAATACGGGCTTGGCGCATTTATACATACCAATGATATCAGCCGTGCGCTTCGAGTAGCATCCAAAATCCAGTCGGGCACGGTTTTAGTCAACACGACTGAGAATATGAGCCCTCAAATGCTATTTGGGGGGAGCAAAAGTATGTTGAAACTGCACCTTCTCCAGCAAAATAGCAAGTTCTAATAGCACTTGGGAATTAGATAGTGGCTTGGGGCGCGAGAACGCAAGATATGCGTTGATGGCTTATACGGAGCCGAAGTCCATTTTTATCAGGTATCTGGCCAACTCTCTATACTGAAAGATGCAGATCATCATCAGAGCCGTTATTTTTCTAACAGTTTACTTTAGGACACTTGGAGAGACGGAGTGAATGGGGAGTCTTGGGCTCATGTTGAACATAGTACAAGGACAGGGCGATCCACATTCTGCTGTCGAAAATGGGTAGCTAATATCTGTCGTTGGGAGTGTTAATAATCTGCGTCTCAATCAAACCATTTATGGTGATCAATCCTTCCATCTTTCGTAAATACAAACTATTCACGGTCTATGTTTAAAAAAACACTGTCATTTGCACGTAGAGCATTGTATAGGTAAAGGTATTCAACTCCATGAGACAAAGGAATGTGCCTGGATTGGCATGTTCATTCTTCGTCAAATTCTTATCAGTTTTATGAGACTTAGAAATGTAGAAGAGGGAAGTCTTGTTTCATGCCAACATTGAAAGCTGGAAATGTGGTAACGTTGGCGGTGATCCCTGACGTCGGTAGTCGCATGTCGGATGACGAATTTCTCCGTCCTTCAGAGTGGAATACCATCAAAGTTGGGTAACCCCAAATCCCAAAGTACTTGTTGCAATAGCTCTAGTGGGTTTTAGCTGAGGCGGAAGTGACCCGAGCACATCTCCGTCGGCAAGATTCCCCGATTCAGCGTGTATGATCATGCATCGCCAGCAGAAGGCCAAGCTTCCCTACAGATTTCCCCAATGTAAGGAATATTGGTCTCTACTGTGATGAGAAAAATAGTTGACTCATTGTGTACCAAGTAATAGAAAGTAGATAACTCAAACAATCCCGTCTGAGGAACCTAATGTGAACCTACCAAATCCTTAATAAGCCCCCCTTATATCCCACCTTTACCACGAGAACGTGAAGCCACCGTAGCCTGACAGTCACACACGAATAAGTCTCAAAGAAAATTAAAAGAGTACCATCAAATATTACCAATTGTCATGTCTTTTGCATCCCGTGTTTTTGCCATTACCGGCGGCGCCTCTGGCATGGGCCTAGCAGTCGCGAAGCTTCTTTCGAAACAAGGAGCGGCCGCGGTTTGCGTTGGCGATTTGAACAAGAAGAATTTTGAATCAGCTACCAAAGAGATTCGTGCTGAGAATCCCGACACTGCCGTCGACATGTCCGCCCTCGACGTGTCCAAGTCAGCAGCTGTGGAAGAATGGATTTCGAGCATCGTACACAAGTACGGCCGACTTGACGGTGCCGCCAATGTAGCTGGCGTACCCCAAGTTGCTAGGCAGAGTAGTGAAGCCGGACCAACACTGCTGGACGAATCCGACGACATATGGCGTCTGCATATGGGAGTCAACTTGGACGGTGTCTTCTACTGTACACGCAGTCAAGTGAGAGCCATGACAGCCCTGCGTCACAAAGGAGATAAAACGGAAAGATCCATCGTGAACGTGTCAAGTATGGCGGCTTTGAGCAATGGACCTTCATGTTTGAGCTACGGCGTGGCCAAAACTGCCGTTGTATCTTTGGGTGCTCGTATCGCGAAAGACGTTGCGCCTTTTGGCATCCGCGTCAATACAGTTCTTCCAGGTAATTGATCCACTTCCACGCTTCTTTCTGTCCGTCTTGAAAACACATAATCAGGTATGATGAGACCAGCACCTAACTGCGTGGAAACATTCAGGTGCTACAAATAGCCCCATGCTCTCGCAATTCTTCCCTGGAGACGCCAAAAGCATTGTGGCAACTCTGGGATATGATATATTGGAGCCGGAGGATATTGCTCGAACCATTGTCTACCTTCTCAGCGATGAATCCAAGAAGATTTCTGGAGTCTCACTCCCGGTAGGAAGTGGACATTGAGGTTTGGCTATATGAATCAAGCTGAAGGGGTGCGCTGTGACCAGCAGCAGCTCGATGAAAGTATCATCAAGAAATGTGAGATATAAAAATAAATCTCCCCATTTTAGAGCCCTCATTGTAGCACATTTTTCTCCTTTTGTTTCGCCCTGTTGCAGCTATTGCAGCTCCTCACATAGCGCCATCTGCCAGGAGCCGGGTTGAGTATGAAGAGTGAAGAAGGATAAGAATACCTTACTGTAGCTACTCTAGAGATAGTCTTAGTTAGGTTGGAATGACTGTATCGTTTCTATAAGCTCATATTGCTGCACTAAGTTACGTCATTCGATGTTTACGGACATTCAGCTTCTGAAAAACCATCTTATTGCAGAGGATTCGCTCTCACCAGTGACTTCAAGGTATCGAAGCTCAAGTGAAGCTGAATTTAATGATATCTGATGTATACTAGGTATGTAGGTAACTAAGAAGGGGGTACATTGGCATTAATTGCAGCATTCACGAGATTAGTTGCTTGGTAACCCAAGATCAGCCCTTTCTTCACAGCCGCACTTGAAGCGACTTTCATTTTCGTCACGTAGTCCTTATTCGTGGGGTACAAGCTCTTGAGTGTTGCATCAGAGAAGTTGGTTCTCACACCTATGAATGTTCCGTTATAAGCGGCAATTGGCACCGTGATCTCTGGCTGTCGAGCACCGCCCTTGGTGTTGTTATAGCTGTCACGGATGTAATCAACTCCAAGCGGCATGGATGCTGAAGGTCCAATCTCCATTAGCGGGAACTTTGGAGGTGGAATTCCTGTGCGGATCCAACGAGACGCGTGTCGATAGGCGGCATCCAGTGGTGGCAGCCAGCTGACAGGATCTGCCGTGGCGGAGTTGACTGGAATTGTGTTCGGGAGCTGATCTGATATCGCTAAGGCTGCGGTCCTTTGTAATACCAGCAGATTTGCGTGGGCTCCACCAGTGTTTTCCCAGTACCGGTACAAGGTCGTGTCTGGCTGGCGACATCCTTGCACATACACATACAGAGCCTCCGATTCCGTGTTGATCTGATGAACAGGTATCTTCAGATCTGTGCGGATGCGCGTTGGCACTGCTGGTGCCAAGGCAGTGGTGCCGGTGTATGGGGCACCAATCAGTCGGCTGAAGTCAGAAGCTTGGCCGAAAGAAATAACAGGGATGAGAACATCAAAGGCGCTGCTAATGGGTTGGACGCCGTTGGCGTAAGCGTTCAGTCGGATACCAGACTGTGATTCGCCCGTGCCAATAACATGCTTGGCTTTCAAGCCAGGAATCAGGCCCGACTTGAGTAGGTTTGCTGCCTGCGTGTAAATGTCGTACGAATATCTGTCATCAGGTACGTTTAAACTGCCATAGCGCTCCGGGTCCCATTCAGTCAGTCCCAGAGGCGCCATTCCAGTGACATTCTGGTAGCCAACGATTCCCACTATTTGAGCAGAAACACCGACAAAGGCGTAACCGGCGTCGTACACTCCAGGGCCGTCAGATATCATGAGATCGTAGCCTGCAGAGACGTTGATCCACTCAAGAATGGCATCACCGTTGAAGTCGGACTCTTTGGCAGGTCGGCGAACGAGAATGCGCGTCTTGTAATTGGCGGGGTCGATTGGGACCAGAGTCCAATTCCCATCGATAGTAAGATTTCCAGTTACGTTGTAGCGTAATGCTTGACCACTAATAAAGTACTCTTCCTCCACATAGCCAATGTCTGAGATATTGCCAACCCAGGCAGAGAAGGGGTGTCCATGAGTGCCGCCTGTGATTGGTCCTTCAATGGTGGGTATGACCGGCGGTTGATGTCCTCTAGTTGAAGCCATAGCAACTGGCAAGAGCCAGAATAACGCAAAGAGCTTCATGGTCAATACCAAGAGAACCCCGCGATTGCTAAAAGAAAAAAAGAGATATTACTTGACTGTCAAGAATGAGACAATTGCAATTGTTGTACCATGCATTTTTTTTCCTTCGAATATTTGGTTCATGAAGCAGTAGTTAAATAATGATTCAGCCAGACAACGCAAAACAATCATCGATCATCTCGAAATTAAACAGGAGTCTACGCCCATGGAATTCCCAAGTTACCAATTTGGGTAATTTTCGCGATGTGTGTAGGTTGCTTGGTTGCTCCGCCTGGCACGACGCCAATGTCAATTAGCTAGGCTCTAGTATCCACTGCATGGGGATATGTAAACCAATTAGATATGAATATCTAATGAGATACTACAAAGCTCATTTACCATATCGGGTATTCGTCACGATCTTCGCAGGAAGCCAAGAACAATGGGGATTTCTCCTGAAGAATACGCCACTCCATCGGAGCGCCTGTTTACCGCCTGGTCCTCTACAGCCCTCCATCTCTATCATAGGCAAGAGAGCAAGAGACAGTCTATACTCCATATACGGGAATCTTCCCGTTCACGTAATAGAAGGTAGTAGTCCGTTGTCCTATATTACAGACTTGCACCGCATAAATCCGATTCTATATTACCCATCTTAGGCTTGTGGATACTAAGGGAAGCCTGATACTTGCCGTATAATGGTTACTAAGAAGGGCTTATCTTTGGTCTTGATAATATATGTAAATATATAACCCAGGTTCTGGTAGCCAAGAGTTATGGTTCTCTCAGATGTTGTGCTCTGCACGACACGACAATCAGATGGATGTTTGTATTCCATATATCTATCGAGAGACATCATGTTAAGAATCCATAGTATTTAAATTCTCCCAAAGGACTTCTTCATGTCATTTATATGATACTGTGAGCTTACCGAGTTGCCACCTCAACCTGGGTCTCTGCTAGTAAGGGAAGCCTTGGCCTATCATTAGCAATAACTTGAGCCTGATCCCGCTGATCATCTTCCAGAGCAAGCAATGCAACGACCTTGACGGCGAACATCACTCGCGATGCATCGCCACAATAGGAATTGGTCTCCCGGATATATCGAGCAGCGTGCAGGATGGATGATGCCTGGGTAGATATAGATGATTGAAAGGCCAGCACAGTAGAACGTGGTCCGCCAATGTTAGTCTGCGGAGGCTTCGACAATGCGATAAGCAATAAAATGTGCTGAGTGATGATGGTTAGAGCGTTGAAGAGGGCGATGGCACCGGCGGCGTGTGTATCGCCGTAGATGAAGGGACCTTGCGATACGGCCAGTGCCCAGGACTCTGCTGATGTCGATGTGTCCTCAAAACTGAGTGGTCTAGCGACGGGAGGAATTGTAACATCCTCCCCCACATACTCTTTCCACCAGGCCACGAGCTCCATCATGACACGATTGACTGCCACTTCTATCACTAACTTTTGCTGCTTTGGCAAGTCTTGAATAGCGCGAATTCCATCACGAATATTTGAAGTCGGCTCATCAACTTTAGGAAGGTGAACCTCGCGGAGAAATACAAAGGCAACATCAACGATGCGATCCCACGGTGCCTTAGACTCTTGTGCAAAAGGCACTTGGCTCCAGTCAGCAGTCGCAAACTTTGCCGACTTGTTTCGGAGGATAGCTTGGAAAGCCTGCAGCGATGAGTTATTATTTATGGGGAGGCATCTTCGTTGCAGCTTGTGGAAACAAGAAGAAAAAAAAAAAAAAAAGGTTTGCGGTGCATTCTTACCTCGAGAGAACGAACGGATCGAAACATTTTATGTTGGATCCCAAAGGAACAGGCATGTGGGCCGATGGCCTGAAGTATATCGCAAGCTATGTTGAGATGCTTCAGACCTGCGTCAGGAGTGGCGCCTTGCATCTGTTCAAAGTAGGCAAACATCATGGGTACATAGATCATGTTGCAATGACCGCTTTCATCGATAGAGGGAGAGGACGGCGAGGCAGTTGGACTATTCCCTAGCGCTTTTGTATCCCAAGAACGCTTGTGGTCTGAATCGTGAATGGACATGCGATAGCTCTCCAGAGCGGCAAGATACCAGTGAAGTGCATCCATAGCAGTAGCATTATCACTATTTGAGACGGCATAATAGATGAGAGCTGCTGCACGAATGGAGAATTTGACAGACGGCGACGTCGTTGTGGCCATGATGTTGGGTAGCTCAAATACCCATGAGCGCTGGGGACGCCTGGAACTTGTAATTAAATCGACGAATATGCCCACTAGGTGGTATTCATTATTACAAATGTCAGCCAACAATGGATGGAATAGAAGCTGCCCTTGCGCGTTGGCCATATTGAGTAGAGCCTGGTCAAGATCTGGCTGTGTGGTGAAATCGTTTGGGTCAGAGTCGAGGAAGACTGTCTCTTCCAGATATTCTATTGCCGGAAATTCATCTGCGGGTGACACAGCAGCTAGAGAAGATCCGTTGGTAGTCGATGGGCAAGGCGAAGGACGCTCGCTAACTGATTGAACTGGGGAGCGGTCATCTGGATTTTCGATACTCTCCTGGATATTGGTAGGCGTGGGCGATTTTGCTCTGCACTTTGCAGCCTTGGCGCGTCGACCATTCTCGCGTTTCAATATCTTGCTGGTCATGTCCAGGAATACGGCACCACGCACGGGTCCAGAGCAAGAGAGACCTAAGCGTGAGCATTGCCTGCAGCAAGAGAGGCGCTCATCACACTGTCGTAAGAGGGCCATGTGTCAATCTTTGCATGCATACGCGTGTAGATTGGTACAAAGTGGAAGAAATGCGGTGGTGGGAAGAATGTCCATCGTGAATGACAAGGAAAGCTAGGATGTAACATGACCACGGCATATATAGAGGTCTGTTAACCCTCAATTGGAAAGCTAAGACTTACTTTGACGTGCCGTTGTAAGCATTGCTTACAGCCTCTGCTACGAGCTGGACGTGAGTTAGGCAGCATGTCGCCTCGTGTGGATAGCCAGCGTTGTCGGGAGACTGGTTAAGCTGTGTCTTGTAGACTTGTCGTTGGTGATTTTCTTTTTTGTCTGTGTGGATGGGAAAAGGAGATGAAAAAGGATCAGGAGTGGCTGAGAGGGTTCTATTGCAATCGACGAAGAGGGGCCCCTTGAAATTGCCGATCCCGGCCGCGTCACAGCTTTTAGTGTGAGCGAAGAACTGTCTGGTCTATAATAGCCCATCCGCCAACTCTAGAATCGTTAGGATGGCCGGCTTCCCCATGGGGCTCACATTAGCGCTGCAGAGTAGGTCTCTTGGCCTCCTTGTGTTCTCGTAGCCAGCAGATCCAGGGAACCATGCAAACCCGAGCACCTTCGTAACAACAAGACGCCTACTGTTACGTGCCCCTGTTCGTCTCCGGATTATGGTACATCGCTCTTGGTAGTAGTAACAATAGGTGCCGACAACATAGACCCTAAATTCTTCGGGTATCAAGGAGATGTTTCCTGTCGCACTGAATGCTAGCTCTGTCTTCACTTTGTCATTTCAACGAACCGCCCCGACTAGCAAACCAAGCTTCCAACTCTGGAATGCCCACCGCTGCGGATAGCAACATCTTTCCAAACAGGTCGACATCACCGGCCTTTGCTTCACTTAACATTGCGGTGAATTGCCCGTCAATGATGAGGAAATGATTCCTCTGTCGCCAAGCGTTCCTGAAATCCAACGCTGTCTCCGCCTGCCATAGATGCTCCGACACCATCCACGAGTGGCACAGGCCCAGGCGTCCATCGCACTGGTACAGGTTCTGGCTTCCTGTGAGCACGCGATACGCCTGTAGAAAGAAGAAGGTAAACAGGAGCGTCCGCCGTGCTGATTCTTGGAAGATCCAGTCTTTCCACAAATCTGAGAGCGTAGCTAGACAGCACTCGGAGAAACGGTCTGAACAGTTTCCCTCGGTGTCGAAGATGACGTGCGCAAGCAGGCCGATTGCAGAGGTCTCGAGTATGGGAATTGTGCGCTCGCCTGATGCTCGAGCGCTGATGTTTCCATCAAAGAGGCGGATAATCTGGTAGAGGAGTAGGGCTTGGGTGTGAGCGAGGCTGTCCATTGGCGTCGTTGGTAAAGGCTCGCACAACAAATCCTGCACTCGAGACTCGATGCAACGAAGGATGACAGGTGTATTTGCTTGGTTCTTTGCCAAGTAAAGAGCACAAGAAGAAAGAGCGTCTAATATTTTTTTTTAATTGTATTAGCTGCGTTTGATCTGATAACGAGACACAGAACTGCTCTCGTACCTTGCATCGAACGTGGCATGCTGTCGGCATAGAGCAGTGGATGCGACCACGGCGTCTGCATCTCCATCACCATGGTCTTGGGCGCTTTTTGGATTTGATCCAAAGAAAACTGTAGCCTTCTCGCGATAACCTCTGTCAGTCGATCATGAAGTCCCTTGGTGGCTGGCGCCGTTAACATGGACGGTTGCTGCACAACATCGTAGTCATGACTCTCAGCACCGTAGTCGAGAGTCGCAAGGTCGCTGAGAAATCCATGCATGCTTTGCTGGCTGGACTCTTCATCTACCGTGGCAGTAGGTCCGAATTGGCGGGCCATTGGCTTGGCACTCCCCGTGCAGTCATGGCCCAAGGCGCCATCAGGAACAGCAATGTCCTGCAACGGTGCCGGCTGGATTGCAACATGACTAGAGGCCTTGACCTTGGCCTTGGCCTGCGGCGTACGTAACGGATACTCGCACTGAATCTGACGCTGCGAGCATCTCAAACACGCTGGGACGGCAAAGTCGCAGCGGCGCTTGGCCTTGATGCATGCCGCGCAACTCTTCTTTCGGGGCGGTGGGTTGTAGCGCTCACGAGCCGTGAAGGACATGGTTGGTTAAGGCTCTAGAGAGCATGTCGTGTCTATGAGCCACAACTTTCGCCGGAATCCCGCCGCCAGCTGATTGATGAGTCTGGATGAGTAGTCCGTTGAGAAGTGAATTGTGAGTTGTGAGTATAAGGGATAAGATTAAAGTTGTGAGCTTCTGCCTGCTGGTGATGTAAAGTGGGCTCGGCGGAATTCCGCCGACAAATATGAATCTACTACCGGCTTTTGTAACGGGCGGAGCTCCGCCCACCAGCTAGTAAATCCTTTACAGACGACGATTCATAAGCTAGCCTGGAATCGCACGAAAATTGGCGGCAGAGACATTCACACTATTTTACATCATGGCAATCCTCCAGATGATACTCTTTGCAATGGATATATTAGTGGGCGTGCTCCTCGCTCCGAAGATTGATACGGGCTGAGTTCATCGCAACGACTTCCCATCAGCTGAAGCAAAGCAAATATTACACCTCTCAAATTTCTTATACAACTGAATCAGAATGGCTCAACCAAAAGTCTTCGTTTGCGGTATCACCGGCACACAAGGCGGCGCCGTTGCTCGCAGACTTCTCTCCGAAAACGTCGCAGTAACAGCCCTCGCCCGTGACCTGTCTTCGCCTCAAGCACAATCTATCGAGGCCCTCGGTGCCAAGCTCTTCCCTGGAAATTTCGACGATTCATCTGCTCTTGAACAAGCCTTGGCTGGCTGCACTGCTGCCTTTCTCAACTTCAGTCCCGACTTCAATGATTGGACCGCTGAGCTGCGCTGGGCAAAATCCATCATCGCAGCTGCACGGAATGCAGGGGTAAAACACATCTTGTACTCTAGTGGATTTGCTGTGAACGCCCCCGAGAGACTTGAACATTGGGACCCAGACAGCGTCATGGCTATAGTGCTGCTCTCAAAACAGAGCATCGAGAAGGAAGTGCGTGATGCGGGCTTCAACTACTGGACCATACTGCGGCCAGGCAACTTCATGGCAAACTACCTGCCGCCGAAAGTCATCATGTATGGCGATCTTCCGCAGTCAGGAATATGGCACACTGCTCTGCTGAAGGAGACCACGCTGCCTATGATAGACGAGGACACTATTGGCCGCTTCGCATCTGCCGCAATTCTTAGCCCTACCAAGTTTACCGGCCAAGAGATTGAGCTTGCCGACGAGCTCCTTCGCCCTGAGCAGATTCTTGAAAGACTCTCGGCCACTGCTGGACGACAACTGAAGGCCGAGTATATGTCAGATGCCTCTATCGAGGAGAAAAAGAGCAACCCTTTCATTCTCGGACAGCTTGCAATGCGTGACATGGTTCAATTCGTCGACATGGAGAAGGTTCAGAGCTGGGGAGTTCCCTTGAGCTCATTCGATGCATATCTTGAGAGAAACAAGGATTTTGTCAAGAAGACTTATCAACAGGCGACATAAAGCAAAACAATTATTTGTACAAGTGACCTAAGGCCTTTGTTCTTTATAGAAATAATAAAGGGTATTGCTATTCAGCATGACAGAATTATGTATTAGTAATGCAGAAGTGATATAGTCTGTAGTGCGGGGTACATTATATTACTAGGACTTTACGGAGTACTTACTCACGAATAAATTACCGCATATTTTAAATCCAGTTCCAGTCTTTATATAACTGATGAAATATAAGCCTCAACAGCCCTCTGGCTTTCGACCTTTTTGCATTTCAACGATAACCTTGTTTTTTTTTTACTAAGAGTAAGAAATGGAGAATTACGTGATAGAGAGTAGTAAAGTTATCCCACATTGGCTGCCAGGCGGAGATATATTCTGGTACCAACTGAAACTGCCTGGAAGCGGTCATGATTCTGTGCTTGTCAATGCTCTGAAGGCCACTCGCCAAGGGGGCTTTGCCGAGGATACTCTAGGTCAGGAGGTAGAGCGGTTGATGGGTCGGTGGATAGACTTGAAATCTCTAACTGAAGGTGATATGGAATGGAACAACCCTCTCGACAATGCAAATTTGAAGGGAAGGTTTCTAAATACAGAGGTCGCTTCTCCATATGCGGCCAGCGAAGTATCAATTCAATTTCTCAACAGATGCAGCTCCCCGGTAACGATAGAGTGGATTGATCACTCGTGCGAGCCAGTCTGGCGAGGTGTTATTGAAGTGGGGAAAATCGGCCACTTCACAACCTGGAATGGCCACATATGGAGAATACATGTCAAAGAAGATCCAAATTTAAAGGTTCTATATGCTGCGCCAAAGGAAGAAGACAAAGATGCCATTGTTATTGACGATAATCTACTGCGTGGTGAGGATGGCGCTCGCAAATCCAAGAATGACACGGGATTTCCCCTAATCTCTATACGAAATGGAACAGTTTGGTCTACTTATGAGGATGGAGATGAGCAAATTCTTGCCAACAACGATAGCGAAACTGAGCTATATGACGAGGAAAGAATCTATATCTCTCCCGACAGACAATTCGCTGTTATATGGCAGTATACGCCCGAACATGACCATAAGATGCACCTGGTTGAGTCTTCACCTACTGAACAGCTTCAGCCTAAAGTGAAGTCTATTCATTACCTCAAAGCTGGTCATCAAGTCAGAGTTGATAGACCTCGCCTTTTCGATTTAAGCCAGCGCAAAGAAATACCAACAGACGATGCTCTGTTCCGCAATCCATACGCACTAACAAATGTCGGTTGGAACAAGAGCGGAGAAGAGTATAGATTCATTTTCAATGAGAGAGGTCATCAACACTTGCGAGTTATTGGAATCTCTGTGCATGGCCGCGTTCGAGTCTTGGTAGAAGAAAGTACCAAAACATTCATCGACTACTCCACCAAACTTAATCGTCATTTGATCTCAGACACGGAGGAGATTATATGGGCTAGCGAGCGTGATGGCTGGAATCATTTGTACCTCTACGACCTACGGCAGGGTGTTTTGAAGAACCAAGTCACGACCGGGAACTGGCTCGTCAAGGCTGTCAGTAGAGTAGATGAGAAGACGCGCCAGATTTGGTTCTCCGGCTGTGGTATGGTCAAGGGCCAAGATCCGTATTATGCTCAACTTGCAAGGATCAACTTTGACGGTTCAGGGCTCACAATACTTACCGATGGCAACGGAACTCATTCCTGGAAGTGGTCTCCAGATTATCGCTATTTGATCGATACATGGTCAAGAGTCAATTGTCCGCCAGAAGTTGTATTGCGGGATGGAAATACTGGCGCAAAAATCTTGACTCTCCAGGAAAGCCAGCTCGCCCGCCTTGCTGACTCTCAGTGGAATGCTCCGGAGATATTTTCTACCCCAGGTCGTGATGGAGTCACTATGATACACGGCATTATCATTCGACCTGCAAATTTTGACGCTAATAATAAATATCCAATCCTCGAAGAGATATATGCGGGACCACAGGGTTACTATACCCCTAAAGCTTTTTCGAATTATTCTTGGTATCGCGGCTGGGCTGACCGAGGCTATGTCGTTGTAAAACTCGACGGCATGGGAACAAATTGGCGATCGAAAGCTTTTCACGACGTCTGCTACAAAAATATTCACGACGCAGGGTTCCCCGACCGCATCAAGTGGATCAGAGAGGCAGCGGCGACGCGTCCATGGATGGACCTTGAGCGCGTTGGTATTATGGGCACGTCTGCTGGCGGCCAAAGTGCGGGTGCTGCACTGATCCATCACGGAGACTTCTATAAAGCGGCAGCAGCAGACTCTGGATGCCACGATAACCGCATGGATAAGATTTGGTGGAACGAGCAGTGGATGGGCTGGCCCGTTGATAAGTCGTACGAGGACGCGAGCAATGTCTTCAACGCTGAGAAGTTGCAAGGCAATCTTATGCTGATTGTTGGGGATCTAGATGACAATGTAGATCCGTCATCGACGTTTCAATTTGCAAATGCGTTAAACAAAGCAGGAAAAATATACGAGATGCTCCTTATACCGGGCGGCAAGCATGGCTGTGGACATGGACAATATGGTCAAATGCGGCAGGCTGACTTTTTTCAACGCCATCTCCAAAAGAAGCAGCAATTCTCATGTATATAGCTTCTTCTTCTTCTTCTTCTTTTTTTTTGAACGACATGTGTCACAATACTTCTCATGCTTACGCTGTCCCAGGCAGCTACTAACGTGTCATGCTTGTGTGATCGGGCGTGAGCTGACTGTGCCGAACCCGACGTTGAAGTAGTGTGATGAAGGCTGGAGTGAGCAAGCTAGTGACAGGTGCTGATCAAAAATTTACTGATTCAGAAGCATACATGTAAGCATCGGCTAGTGTGCGCCTGATCGCATGAACCTTATAGCCTCCACAGGCATACTTTCAATTCCCACTTGTTATTTACTGGTACAAAAATGCCGACCATACTCAGAGTCGAAACTCAATGATAGTACAGGTTGAAGGTAGCCCGACTAGATTCCTCCACGATTGTCTTTTGGCCGTTTGACCCGTCAACCGCATGGTGAGGTCATCAGTAAACGCGATTGAACCACCGTCCTAGTTGATTCCGCGCTGCACGAGATCCGCATTGAAGAAAGGAATACAACCAGCGAGAGAGGTGAACCCTGACGCAAACCTAGCGGTGATTAGTATTTAATCTGCTGAATTGTATCTGTAATCTTGGGTCGCCATTCGCTATCACTCTGTTAATAATCAAGGCTTCAATCTCATTAGTAGCTGACGTCCGTTTCCAATTATATCTCCCGAAGGCTTTTAAATATCACCTCCTAAGCACTAAAGCGGCGGATAATGACAAACTAATGGCTAGTTATGGGACCAGCGTAAAATAAAGAAGTATATAGAGCCAGAATGAGCTCACTTTATCTCATTGTTTCAGCCTAGTCAGAAGTAAGTCTGCTACAGCCAGCACGATCTGGTCATCACCTAGAATGGAGTCTAAACCTATACTATTCTATGACCTTGCTGGAAGAGTAAACAAGTGTTACTCAAACAACACTTGGAAAAGTACGGCAGGAAGCCAGCCACTCTCTCTTATATCATATCGTAACAAACCCTAACTGGAAACCAGTACGTTTGGTGCTCAATTATAAAGCCGTCCCCTACGAGGTTGTGCACACTGAATACCCTGACATCAAAGATCTTCTTATTTCCAAAGGCGTGAAACCTAATGTTATCGACGAATATACATGGTTTCCATTTACTCTTCCGGCAGTGACACTTCCTAACGGATCGACTGTTCAAAACTCACGTGCTATTGTGGACGAGCTCGAACGGCTATTTCCATCACCATCTATGCGGCTTGACAATGGCTACACGGAGCGCGCAATACGGCTCGCCCACGACCTAGATGGGGCTTGGGGCAGATGATTGCTATAGGTTATACAGCCGAACCTACAATCCGCGTACAACTACACATTTTAATAATGTATATGCGCCTTTTTTTAAAGTGTCGTCGCTATCGGAGCTCGCCGAGAGCCCCTTGGTTTGGGATAGTGCGTGGGCCAGCGCTCAAGACGCTCTGAAGAAGACCAAGGAGCTCCTTAGCGAACATCCCGAGGGCCCGTTCGTAGAGGGTACTACTTTTAGCTACGCGGATTGCCTGATCGGAGGAGTTTGGCAGTGGCTGAGGGTTCCGAATCCAGAAATGTTTCAAAGGGTTATGAGCTACGACGAATCATTCAGGAAGCACCAAGAGGCATTGGCACCATACCTCGAGCGTGATGGCTAAACACTGATGAAAAACTGTCGTGCTGGTACAGTAATGAAACCCGGCCCAAGCTTTGGTACATTTTGTCAGGGACGGGTGAGGTTGGTTTGCTTCAGACCCAGGCCAGTGCGCTAGGCCAAGTAAAAGGCCGCGACGGCAAGCCCATCGACAAGTGATGTACACGATGGACATGTTGAGAAGTGTAGTTGGGTGTATTATTGTATTGATTAAGGTCTTCATTATCTATCAATACGTCGGGGGCAGGACCTCTTATATATACAACAATCTACGAGATCCACAGAGACAGATCGGTCAAGGATACCCTGCAACAACAGGACACGGCTGCTCAACAAGCCGTAGCTCTGCAGTCTTGCCCCTCTAGCACTGATGCACGCTCATATTTTGCCATATGCAGTAATACCACAGTCATATATTACAAATGAGCTTTTTCCACGGAGCAGCCAGCTCAGACTATTTGATTTTGCTCCCATCTGCTGAGTATTTGAAAACGTACTTCTCTTCGATGTAATCACCGGGTGGAAACGCCAGCCACTGAGCAGCTACCCCCTCGGTCCGCTGCCTTAGCTCCTCTTTACGTTACGTGAGCTAATCTCGCGCTCGTCAATACGAATCCCACTCAGTGAAGAAATGGACATTTTGGCAGAGGAATTCGTCCCGCCACTTGTTCAGATCATATATTACTTTACTCCAATAACTTGGAACGTCTTCGGAAAGTCGTATGTCTATCACACGATATATACAGTGCCTCGAGGACAGCGGTAGGCTGTGTGTGTCTCTGAGTGTTCCCGCTAGACATAAAAATTCGGATTACGTGTGATCGATTAGTAACCTAATGTCCGGACATAGGGACCGGACATATCGACCCCCACAGTGATTTGTATGTATGATACAATTAAAATAAAACTTACAAATCCAATACTAAGGTAGCTAGCCAATGAGAAAAAAAAAAAATGTCTTGTACCTTTGAAACCAATTTGAAAAGTCTTGTCGTGAAAGTTTTCAGTAGTCACCAGTAGTTAACGAGGCACGACTGATACCCACTGGCCCTGAATTCTCACCCTGAATTCTCAATCGACCTAGAGGAGATCATTTGTTATATGACGCTGCTGTTGAGACATGAGCTTTGGAAATATTTCCTAATGTGTATTGTAAATGTTATATCGTTACAAGGGCAACCTCCAGAGAGACCATAGAACCTTGAACTTTGACACAGAGCAAAAACGGCCGCTGATAGAAGTTAACAGGGTCAAAAAGCGGGAAACTCCGTTTCAACGGATGAAGCGGCCGCTGCAGTACAGCCACCAGTACGAATGCAGCAGAAAGTGCCAGGAACAGAAGTGTCTCTATGGCTTACAAATTAAGCTTGAGTGCTAGTGTCACAAGGGGAAGGCAGTCGTACATGTTTGGAACAGTTATCTGCCAGGCCAAATTACTAACGTACTTACGAACTTGTCTGGTAGGCGAAGTTATGCGCATCCTGAGTGCGTCATATCTGTTTGAAGCAAAAATGTCAGAGCAAAAAGATGTCAGAGCAAATAGATATTGAGATGATTGGTAAGACAGCCGATAGCAGAAGGTAAGGTTGAACGAGATGAAGCCTTGGTAGATTTCTATAAAGAGCGGTTCATTTCTCAACACCAGCCTCAGTCCTCTGTCACAGACATCATCGCCTTCCTATCAGCCAAACAATTCTTTTCAAGTTCATCCTATGTGGTGGAATAACCAGTATTAAAAAACATTTACGAGTCTTTGTCAGAACAGCAAGGCATCATGAGTCTGGATCTTAGATACTCAGACGCTACGGCGCTTGCCGAGCTGATTCGCACGGGCAAAGTGTCTGCCGTAGAAGTTATGCAGGCTCACCTCGACCGCATAAATTCTCTGAATCCCCAGCTGAATGCTATCGTCACCGTTAACAAGAGTGCGTTGGAGGATGCCAAAGCCGCAGACACAGCAGTGCAATCTGGTACAAAAAATCTCGGCCCCCTGCATGGCGTCCCCTTCACCGTGAAAGATTCGATTGATACCGCAGGCGTGGCGACACAACGCGGCTCGCCAATTTTCGAAGGCCGCGTGCCTTCGTCCGACGCCGTCAGCGTTGCGCGGATGAAGGCCGCCGGCGCCATTTTACTTGCGAAGACCAACCTTCCGGAATTCTCATACGCCTGCGAAACTGAGAATCTCCTCACGGGCAGGACAAACAACCCTTGGAACCTCGAGAAGACGCCAGGGGGCTCCAGCGGCGGAGAGTCGGCCGCCATTGCAGCCGGACTCTCCCCTATTGGCTTGGGCACCGATCTTAGCATCTCAGTACGCGGCCCGTCTGCGATGACAGGCATCATGGCGCTCAAGCCAACCCACGGGCGTATTCCTATGACAGGCGTATGGCCACGAGAGCCTCGCCGGTTCTGGCATACAGGGCCAATGGCGCGAAGCGTTCGCGACTTAGCTCTGGCATACTCGGTGATGGCTGGCCCCGACGGGCAAGATGCATTTTCGTCACTGGGAGCCAACTTTGATGCTGGAGTCGGAGCGACGCCCAAACGACAGCTCAAGGTCGGCTGGCTAGTAGAGCCGGGGTTTGGCCCTATTGATAGCGAGGTTGGCTCAACTGTCCGGGCTGCCGCCGAGGCTCTCAAAGCTGCAGGCTGTGCCGTCGAGTCTGTCCGTATCCCGGCTCTGGAGCAGGACTTCGCCCTGGACGTGTTTTTACGCATTCATGTCAACGAGATGAAACCCCCCATGGTGAAAATCACTAGCGGGCAACCCGAAGAAAAGATTTTCAAGAATGCTCGGGGCATATTGAACACTCCCGAAACACCAATGGCCGATTTCGTTGATGCTGAGCAGGCAATTGATAGGCTCAAGGACGGCTTTGCCGAATATTTCCAAAAGTATGATGCACTCGTGTGCCCTGTGATTCCAGTACCCTCGCATGGGCACGCTATTGAAGAACTCACGATTGACGGGCAGACCGTCAGTAACTTCAACATTTGTTCGACCACCACGCCTTTCACTGTAACGGGACTACCAGGACTGTCAATCCCGTTCGGAGCAAGTCATGAGGGCATGCCAATCGGCGTCCAGCTTGTCAGTAGCTGGCACGCTGATTCCACAGTCCTGCATCTCGCATCCGTGCTAGAAAAGGTCAGCCCTGTTAAGGGGTCTCATCCGAACATATAAACAGGCTCGTTAGGACAAACTTCGCAGTCGGGGGATTTAAACATCGGACCAGGGACTTGAGTACTATATCTCTATGGTATATATTTCATCACTTATAGAAGATGTTGTTCTATTGTTAAAAGTGTATCGCATTTAAACGTAGCTGTCATGGCGAGGTGATTTAAGGCTGATGGGTTGATCGCAGGCCCTTTGGTACGATTCCATATTTCGCACCGACTGTGAGGCTTGGGGGGGTATTGAAGATAGTAATGATACCGGCCTAATCATTGCTTGTTATTTATAGACATAAAACAAAGAGTGTTGCTATTCAGATTGTATAACTTTGCTATTACATTTTAGCGATAAGCTTGTAATTGGGCCTACAGTAATACTTCCAGGACAACTTTTGTTTAGCAGTTACTTACAGAGCGGATTTACATTTGCTCTTTTATAAATGCTTTCAATCACACTTTTAATTTTCGACATCTAGCTAATCGCTAATCGCTATTCTACTTATGAGAGACTTGTGTTAATCCCAACATCATTTCAACATGCTTATCGTAAGAACAATATTGTTGTAAAAGTAAATCTCTCAAGGCCCAAGCAGGTCGGCAAGAGTCGAGGCCCACGTATTGACCTGATTGAGTTTTAGTAAATAGTACCGCTAGTAGAAAAAGATTTCATCAACTAGACTTTGCTTACCTTTGCGGGAGTCATCATTGAGAAGTGGTTGCCGTCGGCGCGAACCACACTCACGCTTCCCAAGAGTTCATCCCATCCCAAAGATCCGCCGTCGACCCTGTCGTCCAAGAACCACTCTGTGATTCTCTGTTCTTCGGGCTTGACCTCTGGTCTGCGCACAGTATCCTGTTTGTCTGCGCCCTCCCTCGCCGAGACCAGCACAGCTTGTGGTAATTTCCTGCCAGGCAGCTTGCTCACCTTGTACGCCGCCACCTGCTGTCTTGCTAGCGTGAAGTGGTCGTTCTCAACAACTTTACCTCTGCTGCTCTCGCCGTTCTTGCCTTGGGCTATGCTGTCCAAGAATTCGCACAAGGAATCAGGTAGCGTGCTCGCGAACGTGGGACACGCGGTATCGATGAGGAATAGCTTCTCGACCTCATTGCCGTCTTCAAGCAGCTGTCGTGCTGCCTCATAGGCCACAACGCCGCCAACTGAATATCCACCGAGCAGGTAAGGGCCCTCGGGCTGCCGGCGCTTGATCTCGCCGACGTAGATGGCGGCAAGCTCCTCGATAGTAGGTACATTGAGGGCATCGGGCTTGTTCTTGAGGAAGGGACTGTTGAGGGCATACACAGACACCTCTTCAGCACTGCTCAGCAACGGCCCAAGGGCGCCAAACACCGCGCCGGACCCAAATCCATCTGGGGCAAGGAATACGTTGCGGCCTCCTGAAGCCCGTGAACCACGATGAAGCAACGTCGACGTCGCCTTCGCAGAACACTGCTTCTCCGGCTCAGCAACCATACCACAAACCACTCGGACACCCCTAGATTCTCTAGTTGCGCCCTCAGACCAGTCCACGTGTGCAAATCCAGAGTCGTTCATGACCTTCTCCCAGGCCCAGGGGCTCTGCAGCGCATATGAGCGGCCGTCATCGAACAACCACCATCCGTCCAGAAGGCCCCAGACAAGGTCATACCACGCCAGCTTTTGCGCCAGCTCAACCAGTGCCACGGCCCCGTCGTCAGGTCGCACCATCTTGCGGATATTAGTCAGGCAAACATTCAGGTTGCGGGTTGCGTGCACGCAGTTGCTCGATACGACGACATGGTACTTTCCTAGCAACTCCTGCGGGGGCTCCTCTTCGATGTTCAGTTTCCTAAAGTCCATGCCTTGAACGCCCTTAAATGTCTTCTTGGCGCGCGCAAGCAGGGAAGGCGAAAGCTCGGTGAATGTGTATGAAAAGGGCAGTCCGGTGGCTTGGAGCAGCGGTACAAGATGCTTGGTGGTGCCACCTGTGCCAGCGCCGACCTCGAGGATCCGGAATGGTTCTCCATCGGAAGCCTGCAAGTGGATAGCGGCTGAGATGAAGTCGCACAAAACCCTTGTGGTAGCCAGCAGATCGGGACCGTTTGCGTAGAAGTCTTCGAGAAGGAGGCGCCCCTTGTCAGAGCCGAACAAAAGGGAGACTGCGTCAGCTTTGCCAGACAGACATTCGGCCAAATGTGGCCCGAGAAGATCAGGCAGACCGTGTGTTGATGCGTATTGAGGGAAACGTGCGATGAGGTCGGCGCTGAGTTCCACGGCAGACTTGACATTCGGGTCGTGCAGGGGCGCTGCGCCACGCACGTAGTCACCAGCCTTTGTTTTCTCGACGATACCAGCCTCCTCTAGGATATCCCAGAGCCGCGGAACTTCTCTATGGTATTTGGCAAGAGTTCCCTGCAGGGCAGGGAGTTTCTCTCCTCGCTTAAAGTTTTCAATGAGGCAACCGAGCTTGGCAAAGCCTTCGGTGATGAATGCTGCGACGGTTTCCAGCTGAGGAGGATATACCTGATCCCAATATCCCGTGAACTTGGTGTCCTTGGCATGAACATCAAAGTTGCGGCGGATCTGCTGGAAAGCTGTGTGGGTTATTCTTCCACCGCTCCTCTCTAGCGTCGACTTTTCAGCAGCAGCCGGCGTGGTTGCGCCCGTGTACGGAGTCATTGAGATGTCGTTGATGGAGGCTGACTGCCCATGAGATCCACTGGAAGTGGGAGTTTGCGCTGAATCAACACCCAGAGTGGCCCCGATGAGCTTGCACAGGGATGCCACATCGACCAGCGAAGAGAATTCCGAGTTTGAGATGTCAACATTGAACGCATCATTCAAGTTACTGATGATTTCCGATGCGACAAGGGAGTCGGCGCCCAGATCCTCGAGATTCGAGTCCATCTGAATCTCCTCGATAGGCACGTCGAGGGAATGGCTGAGTATCGCGAAAATAGGGTCCCGCCAAGCCGATGAAGGCTTGCTGACTGTCTCGACTGTAGGTTCAAATGCAGGCTCTGGCTGCTGATATTCCTCCTCTTCTTCGCTGCTGTCGAGCTCAGCACCAGTATCATCACTGCCGCCACCGACTCGAGCAGAGATGAAAGCGCACAGCGAGGCAACATCTACAATCTTGGTGAACTCATCATTCGAAATGTCCACCTTGAATATATCAGAGATACTCGCGAGGATTTCTGAAGTCACTAGCGAGTCTGTACCAAGTTCCTCCAGCGTTGCGCTCTCAATGATGTCCTCAACAGGAATGTCGAGTGACTTGCTCAGAAGCTGCTGCACGCCACCCAGCACGAAGACCGACTTTTGACCACTCTTCTTGGCTTTGGGCTTCTTAGGCGCGATCGGAGCAGCAGTGATAGCAGCTGGTGGACTCTGATACGAGCTCTTTGGCGTGAATGTTTGAACTTCAGCTGGTCTTGACGGGGCCTTGACTGGCGACTCTTTGATCTCCACGCTTGTTCCTGGGTTGGCTCCCGCAATCACCTTGGCCAGTGAGATGCGAGGAACTCTCGAGAACTTTAGCCCCCTAGCAGACCAGACAAGCTTCCTTGTGTTCTTGTCAAACCCAAATACATCCAAGATGGTCTCCTTGCTGTCCTCGTGAACAATTCTGGTGTATGCTCTGTATCTCGCGCTTCCCTTCAGTGCACTCAGCGGGCCTACTGAATCCATGCCGGTGCAAATGTAAGACATTTCGCCGTTCGTCTCCTCTTCTTCGCCTGCGTCCCGTAGCGAGTGCACAAATATGCCCGGCACTTGTAAGAAGTTGTCCATAACCACTGGATCCGCGATACTCTTGTTAGGAGTCATAGCCGAAGCGTCCAAGTCGGACGGCGGCATGTGGATGTCACCTGCGCCCTCCTTGCCTTGCTTGCCAACGAGGTATTTCAGGCCTTTATACGGCGGCGAATAGGTGGCCATCTTGGAGAAGACCTTGTATATCATTGCACCTCGCAGTGCCTCCGTATCGGTATCATCATCCAGAAGCGTCGAGAGGCGATCCCACATGTGTCTATCGCTCGATTCACTGCCAGACTTGGAGCCATTGGTCAGAGATATGACGCCTGTGGCATGTGAGGTTGGCTTCTCGTTGTCTTTAAAGGAAGCCAACTTGAAGTCCCATGCACTCCCCGTCTTCTTTGCCAAGGTGAGTCTGACTGAGCGTTTCGAGTCTACACCAAGAGGCGCGTTGATCTTAATAGCATCCACTGTGGTTTCCGCATTCTTCCCGGGATTCAGCAGAGCGACTGCATGTGCGGCCAGTTCCAGGTATATCGCTGCTGGACATAATGAGGAACCCACAACAATGTGACCTTTGACAAGCTCATGGTAGCGCCTGCTGCGTGTGTCTACCTTGAAGACATACTCTCCAGCTCTCTGGTTCTGGCTCTTATCCTGCTCTATGTAGGGGTAGTCACTGATGTCTTGATGGCAGTGAGGGCATAAACCGGACAGTGGTGCCTCGCCGCCTTGCTTCTTGCCTGCGCCTCCAAGGGGAGTGTAATCAAGCCAGTGATTGTGCTTTTCGAATTGATACTGCGGCAGATGTACGGGCACATAGCTTGCGCCTTGGCTCCGATGGAAGGGCCAGAACTGGACATTCGTGTGCCCGTTCTTCCACAGCGCCACCGTGGCATCTGCAAGCGATCGAACTGGGTCTTTACCATTGATCGGTACGAAGCCGTGCTGGTCTTGAGCCTGTGCTTGTGGTATCGCGTTCCGTGCCAACGCGATGATCGGACCGCCGAAGCCAGCCTCCAAAAACGTGCATGAACCCAGACGATCGACAATGCGCGAGATGGCTTTTCCAAAGTACACTGCCCCTCGAGTATTGCGGGCGATCACGTTGGGACCAGGACCAGTCCAGGAGTCTTCGTGGCAAGATTCGAAAGGGTAGATGGGATCCTATCCCGAAAAGGAGGGTTAGCCAATCATGTCAATAGAAAACGGAGGCTATTGAGCTGTCTTTGAGTATCTCTTTCTGCTGACCTTGAATGTGACCGAAGCTGATAGCACCGCTGCCTCGTCGACGATCGGGTCAGCCATGACTGAATGGTATGCATGCATTCCTCTCAGGACCTTGAAGCGGAGCTTTTCACCGCTGGCTTTTCTCTCGATCAAGTGCGCTTCAAGCAAGTCGATGTCTGACGTACGCCCAGCGACAACGTAGTTGTTGGGCCCGTTGTAGCACGCAATGTCAAGCTTAACGTCAGGATGTTGCTCGTTGAAGCGCTGCATATTTTGAGCAGGCGTCGTCCCCGTCCCGACCAAGTCGGCCTCGATGGCCACCATGGACCCGGTGTCATCGCCCCAGAGCTTCGCGATAAGAGATGCACGCCCTATTTATAATTAGCATTCCAAAAGTCACTCTATCAGTCGAAACATTTAATTACTGACTATCAAATTGTTAGCATACGGCGCCAGGCCCAGATGATCGGAGCAAATTGAGCTCAGGGGACACTACATACCCAGTAACAAGTCGCATACCATCCTTCAGTGTGATGGCGCCCGAGACAGTAAGAGCTGCCCACTCGCCAAAGGAGTGGCCAGAAATTGCCTGGGGCTTCACTCCTGAAGCAATCCACGACATACCGGACGAGTACTGAATAGCGAACATGGCAGCGTGGCGGAGGACGAGATCATCGCTTTCTTGGACTCCCTCGAGGACAGCCGGGAAGAGACTGGGAAGCCCAAGAGACTTCATTGCCTCTTCACACTCGTCGATATATGATTTGAAGAGCACAGAGCTCTCATACAGAGCCTTAGCAGGTGGTACCGCGGTGCCGTTCTGTCCACTGAAGAGCAACACAATTGACTTGGGCTTGGGAGTGGCCGTGGTAATGTGGCTCTCGGGATCAGCCAGCTGTGTCTGCAGGTCGTTCACTTGTGTTGGAGATTTAGTAGCTAATCCGTGGAAGTTTAAAACATTGGAATGGAGAGCATAGTACTTACCAGATGTGACAGTCGTGGAGAACACGTGTTGGAGTTGGCGGTTCTGCTTCTTCGCCAGCGTATAAGCCAGGTGCCGAACAAACTCAGGAGTAGACGCGTCTCTATCTATCTGACTCTTCAGTTTGGCGAAGTAAGCCAAAAGGCTGGATTTAGAGCCGGCAGATATGAAAATAGGGAACTTTGAAACAGAAGCATTGGCCGTGTTTGACTCAAGCAATGAAGGTGAAGATGACGATCGAGGAGGTGGAGGTGCAACAACAGTGGCCGCATTGTTACCCGAGGCACCATAACTGCTCACCAGTGCCAAACGCAAATCATCTCGCCATTCTTTCAGGGAGGTCGAGATCGCCATTCGGTCAGGCTCGAGGGCAGGAATGTTCGGGTTCAGTGTCTGGAACTGAGCCTGAGGTGTAATTTTGCCATGCTTCATCATGAGCAAGACCTTGATCAGGGAAATCGCGCCTGATGCACCCTCAGAATGGCCGACATTGGGCTTCACAGCGCCGACGTGCAAGGTGTTGCGCCGATCTGGACCACCAAGGACCTGCCGGATCGCCTCAACCTCGACGGGGTCGCCAGCGCGTGTTCCCGTGCCATGGGCCTCGACATACGACACGGCCGCTGGACTGACTCCAGCGCGCAGCAGCACGTCTCTGAATAGTGCCTTCTGACTCTTCAAAACGGGATTTGTGATGCTAGTGTTGTTTATGTTCTGATTGTTACCAGTGGACAACAATACGGCGTGAATGTCGTCGCCGTCCCGGATCGCCCTGGCCACTGGCTTCAACACCAGAACACCGACAGCCTCACCACGGCAGTATCCGTCCGCGCGAGCATCGAATGTCTTGCACGGACCAGTCTTGCTGAGGAACCCGCCTGTGCGGAGGGCGTCAAACAAGGCAGTGTTGGTGATCAGATTGGCACCTCCTGCGATAGCCCGTGTGCACTCGCCGACCTGGATCGCCCGGCAGGCCTGGTGTATGGCAACCATGGCCGACGAGCAGGCCGTGTCAATAGTCTGAGAGGGTCCTGTCCAGCCGAAATGGTGACTCAATCGACCGGCAACAAAAGAGCGGAGCATGCCGAAGCCCGTATACGGCGACGATGGGTTGCAAGCTAGATTCAGAGGGTAGTCTGGCGCGTTCATGCCGATGAAGCAGCCGGTGATTTCGCCACCATCGGCCACATCGTGTGTCTCTGCCTCCTGTTGCTGATCTTCTCCAAAGCAGCCGGCTGATTCGAGGGCGTGGTAAGTGGTTTCGAGCAACAGGCGTTGGTGTGGATCGAGGGCGGCAGATTCGCGCTTTGACTTCTTGAAGAACTGATGGTCGAATGATTCGGTGTCTCGCAAGAAATTGCCCACCATCTTCTCGCTTTTACTGGCTGCGTCGGGAAACCGCTTCGGGTCCAAGTCGCGGAACATGCTCTTACCTGACGATATCGCCTGCCAAAGGTCGTCTGCGGTGTCTCCGGCCGCTGTCCGGCAGGCCATGCCCACTATGGCCACTGCATGCTTAGGATAACTTGTTGGTGTGATTTTTTCGTCTCCTGTTCGGGGTGTGATATCCCATAGCACTGGATGCCTTGGCGGGTCTCCTTTCTTGAGCTCCAACACTCGTACCACGGCCACATGGTCAGATTTGAGGCTAAAGATGCCATCCAAGGCCGCCAGGGCCTCCTCTTTGCTGATGATTGCAAGGCCTTTGGCTTGCATTCCCGTAGTGATCATACGTGTAGCCGACTTGCTTTGAGCCATCATGCCAACGCCATCCCAGCAAGTCCACTGGATAGACGTGCTGTTGTCTCCCTGACGTCTCCTCCGTGCAGCTAATCCCTCCAAGAACGAGTTTGACGGGGCGTAAGACAACTGGCCGGGGAATCCAACCAGTTGTCCAACAGAGGATGTCAGGATGAAGAAATCCAATGTGCCGGGTGGAAATAACTTGTCCAGATGGAGGGCGCCCATCACTTTGGGCGCTATATCGTTGTCCACCTCGGAGGGAGTACAACGCTCCAAAGTGCGGTATCCCGCGACACCGGCTGTGTGAATAACACCCTTTACAGGAGGCAGGGCTAAGTTGTCTAAGGCTTGCCGCAGAGTCAGGTCTGCATCCGGCTTGCTGATGTCAATGGCCAGCACATGTACAATAGCCCCTAAGGTTCGGAGATGATCAATCCGTTTGGCCAATGCGTCGGTATCAGCATCTTTCTCTTCGTTGTTGAGAACAGGCAAGCCACGACGGGACACCAGCACAATGTTGCGAGCCCCTCTCTCCCCCATCCAAGTCGCAGTCTCCAAACCTATGCCTCGGGTCCCGCCCGTGATCAGGTATGTGCCCTTGGGATCAAGACTTGGCTTTATACCGGCTCCTTTTGTCTCAATGTCCTGGAACGGTTGGAGCCTCGCAGTATGCGCCACTCCATTGGATACTTGGACGACATCGAAGCCCTGGGCATATTTTATAGCGGAAAGCGGAAAGCGTCCTTCGTCTTCCTCGATCAGTCCGCCAAAGAGATCTGGTATTTCCATCTTCATTGCGCGTGCCAGTCCGTAGAGAGGGGCGTAACTCAGTTCACTGATACCAGAATCTTTGGTGATGACTGAAAACAGCTTATGAGCCGTGTCTCCGTTGGCCTGGGTGTGTTGCAGCATCTGTGCAGCAGCAATGAGGCTGGTGCACGATTTAGTCGCCGCCTCATAGACCCCGTACTTGTCATTCACCGCCTGAGGAAGATGAACGACAATTGCATCAGGCGTTAACAATGACGCTATCTGCTCAACGTCTCTGGCAATGGCTGTTTTGTGGCCCTCTTCGGCAAGTTGGCTTTGGTATGCTGACAAGATTTTGTCATGCTCCCCTTCGCCAGCGAGGAAGACTACTTTTCCAAACTGTATCGGTTTTTCGGATAGTGTAGCCGTCGTCCAGCGGACTTGGTGATACAGCCCGTGTGTGCTCATGACTGATGTTGTTTTCCCAATCAAAAGAATGCTTATTATTTGGGGAAATGTGCCATTAACAAGGTTCTTCAAAGTGTGTTGAAACGAGAAGTTGTTGCAATAAGCAAAAGTGAACTCAATCAAAGCTACGACTTCGATTGTAGAACTATATATACCAGTAGCGAGTGTATCGACTTGGTGATTTAGCCGGAGGAATATAAGAATACCCCAGAAAGAAGTGATGTCAAATCGTGATACGGCACGTATGCCCTTGCAACAATCTGACGCTAGCAATGTGCCGGATGTCAATGAGCCTACAGCTATCAGGGTATTGTATCAGCTTAGTTTCTATTACGTTTGTAGCTTCATTACCTGATGCATACTGTGCAGGTTACGAGTATATTTCTAATCAAGATAAGAGTGTTGATGAAGTGGCAATAGCTAGTGTATAGGAATCTATCTTTGCGTTCTGAGATACAACTGGAAACCTTCAAAATGGTAAGCAGCAAGTATTCTTTCTATCTACATAAGAACTAATTATATATTATTATCTTCTTTTAGGGTTTCTAAAGTTAAATATATATATGGCATAAGTAAAATAGTTATTTTTACTTTATACTATTGTCTATGTGAACATCCAAAGCCTAAGTAAATATTAAGTAAAGCTATGATAGTTAACTTAAAGGCAAAATATACTTTAGCATTATTAATATTTATTAAAATAGAAATAAAACCCTAATACTTTAAATTCTATACTAAGGGTTTATATTGTAAAATAATATCCCAAGTATATTTTATATTATAAAAGAATATATAAAAGCAAATATAATTATATTCTGTACGTTATATACTAAATATATATTTTATTAGCTTTTAAAATACTTATAGTTAGTATATTACAACAACAGTTTATAATTCATTATTACTTAATACTTGCATTTTATTATACAAGAAGATATTTTGCATAAGTATTTATAAACAAAAGAGGTAAATAAATAAACTAGGATTATACTCTATTAATACAAAACTCTTCAAGTATTATAGTTTATGATAAATCACTAGTAGATATCTAACCTAAGCAACACAATGTATTCCCTTGCAACCCCTAGTCCAATCTAGTGGCTCCTACACCACTTTGTATCACTTACATAACTTTCTTTAATGGCTACGGCTTACTTTATTTCTAACCTTGTTTGGTGTGTTGTAGTTTGTACCCAACGTAGGGTTGCAGCTGACGGATAAATCGGCATCTCGATAAGTGTGAACGGCGATCCTTACTAAGAGTAGTATCATAAGATCCCTACTCTATCAACTCGAGAGATTTGATCACATTTATGTATCGGAATTCGCAATACCAAGGGGTAGATAAAATACAACGTTGGCTATCACATCGATGATCCAGGGTCTAGACTAGCGGCATTCGCTCCCCGCTGCCTAACATAGGGCAGAACCTAACGGTTAATGCGGCAGGTGCGGCACCCTGATAAGCGTGGATGACGATCACTACCAGTCTCAGTATTGTTAACATACCCGATTCGTCAATTTATAGAGATTTTATAATTTTTATCTGTCAGATTGTACCTGGCCCGTGTGTGTCAGATAACTGCAGATCTGACACGTATGCTGCAGCAATTATTCATTATCCTTGTTTCCTGCGCACCTCTTGCCGTGTCAGATAACTACAGGCCTGCCTTGTAGTAGAGTGGGAGGTGGTAACAGCGGCAGTCGCAAGGTTTACTATCCTTGGCTCCCGAAACTGTGCCTCGGCATGTAATCTTAGATACTGCAGGGTTAACACAGACCCTGTGGAGTGCGGTTTATCATCCTTGTTTCCTGCACTGTACCTAGCGTGAAGTGTCAGATGACAAGACACCTAACTATCAGTACTAGACTGCGGGAATTCTATCATCCCGCTTCTCCGGCCCGTGCCTAGTGCATAGTGTCAGATGCCTGAAGACGGCCTAACTAACGGTATTGTAGTACTCCGCAGTCTACTAAGCTGCGGAGTACTACAATGCTTGTTTTCTGGAATCCGGCGTGGGGTTTAGGCAGGGATCTCTATAGGGCGTTAATGACGACTACCACTTACTCTACCTATGACATACTCGTACCCGAGTCTGGAGAACATCCTACCCTAGGGACTCTGTTCAAGTGTGCAAATTTCACCAAAACTAGATACAATAGATGCTACCATTTATGCCTTCTCCAAGTGTCTAATTGACAATTTTAAGAACTATTCAATAAACAAGTGAGTTTCGGAGAGACAGCAGCACGAATTTGAGTATTTTATGTAGCTATTCTATTTCATTGAAAGAATTGGGCGGCGGAGAGTCTCCGATCTACACTCTGTTTTTTAGAGGAGGACGAGTGGGCTAACCTTTCTATGTTAGCATAACACTAGGATCAAAACTCCCCACTGCTAAAGTATACGAGGGAATACGGTATGATACTGAGCCGTGTATTTGGCCAGTTACAGTTTATAAAGAGCGTGAGACAATGGCTGGTTGAAAGTCATCAAATATCGTATAGCCGTTAACCGGATGGATGTTTAAGGCGAGACGCTGGGTGTCCGTATTTGCTCTCTCCTATGGTTCAGTTGTGTACCATTTAGTCAAAGGAGTTACTGACGGGCTTTGAGTCACAATGATATTGCAGATTCTGTCTTAGCCTACTACTTTGATTCACAAATTAATCTAGTACAGACATGCTGCGATCTTTAGTGTCAATTTGGGACAAAGCTCAATAGTTTTGCAGTCTCTTCAAATAATTATCTGTGCACAAATGTTGACCCCCTTATTGTCATCGATGTATCTCGCGGGGCTTGCCAATTTGAGAGACTGAATTCTCTAGTCTGTTGATGACTGCTCGCGTTTTGTTATTCTGCAATTGAAACCTTCCTGCTTGAAAAAAAAACCGTTCTCCACCGTTAGAGCCTTGGGGTCGATGATTTGAATCTGCAATTCTCTGTCAGTAGCAGCTCCAATGTTCCAACACTCGGGGATATGGTAACTTGCCTCGTAGTTGAGAATCAGAAACGGTATTAGCTTCTTAACTTCGAACAAACCGATGTACTTTCCAAGACAAACACGTCTCCCGGCGCCAAACTGTGCTCACCGTTAGTTCCTATACTGTTCAACGGCCCAATTCACGAACTCCAACACTTACGGTGAGTATACTCTGCTCAAGTTTCTTCTTGTGACCTTCGCCACCAAGCCATCTCTCCGGACTCCAATCTTCTACGTTCTCGCCAAATGTGGGTTTGTGTCGGTTGACCACGTATGGATTACTACCGACGAAAACGCCTTCCGGCAGATACTTGCCCATTACGTTAACTCCGCCGACGGGAACAACCCGCTCAAAGGGAAGAGCAAACGGTGGATGTATGCGCACAGCCTCCTGGACGCATGCGTCCAGATATTCCAAATCGCGGACCTCGTTCCATTTGGGATATGGGCGGGAGAGATTTGCAGCGTCTAGTTCACGCTGCAGTGCTTGGAGCGTGTCCGGATGAGTTACCAGGTTGTCTGCTAAAAAGATTAACCGCCTATTTCTTTCACTCGCTACATATGACTTACTGCAAGATTGTTAGCCTGTTATCCACAAGGTGATTAGAGGGAGATGAACCTGATTGATCAGGCTTTAATTGCACATACCACAGAATCGTTCGCATTACAGAGCCAACTGAATCAGAGCCTGCTATAACATTCGAAAACGTCCAAGCAGTTGACGCCCTGTAGATTGTGTTAATAACGGCTCATAAATATCCCAAGCACCGCAAGTGAGGATATTCCTACCATGGTGGCAAATCTGGGTTAGCCCGATGAATCTCAAGGAAGCGAGATAGAAAGTCCTTCCCGCTACTTTGCGTGCCAGCGTCGTCGTTACCGTCCAGTCGCTCTCGAATGGCTTTGCTCACAACCCCAAGAATTGACATTCCCGGAGTCCGTCTAAAGCTGTGGACAATCTTGTTTTTATAGAACCAGGGGTCTAGCCAAGGAATCTGTGTCATCTGGGAGACATGTTCAGTCAGATTACATGAGTCGTCAACGGAAGCACCCAACAAAATACGTACTGGTGCCGCAGTCTTCATGTAATTGAAAATAGCGTCTAACATTCCCTCATCATCTCGGCCTTGATCAAGGAATCCGTATCGTTTGGAAAAGGACATGGTTCCCATAACATCGAAAGCGAAATATTGCACCCATTTGCCAAAATCGAGTATTTCCATAGTGTCCACGAAGCGCTTGTCCAGCTGTTCAGACAGACAGGCAAGTACATCATCGACTAGTCCTTCGAATGTGACAGTGTTTGAGAGTGAAAAAAGCGGAGCAATGGGACTTTTGAGCCGCTTATGCATTTGTTCATCTTGTGTGTTGAACACCAGTAGCATAGAGCCACGCTCACTAGAATATGGACGCAATGCACTGTAAAAGTCACTCTAAGAGAGAAACCTATTGTTAGCATTGCATCATTCTAGACACTGCGGTAATGGTCTAGAACAAGACACAAACCTTGGGAAACCCGGATCTAATTGGATAGATTGTCTGAATAGCTTCGGGGTTGCTGACAGACACCATATGAGGTCCAATCCGTACAATGTCGCCATATTTGGCATGAACAGCTTGGTGATATAGATGTGCACGCCCGGTTCTCACCCACCAGACTCTTTGCAGGTTGGTGATGCTGGCCAAGAAGGGCCCTGGAATATGTCTCAACGACCACCAGGTTTGAAACAGGTGCACAAAGACAACGGCAATTGTTGCTACCACAGCCAGCCACAAAAGCCGGACTCCATCGAAGCCATCTCTGAAACTTGAAAATAACTCTGCCGATGCATTGATGGCAGTTACGAGCGTCTTGTTCATTGTGCTCATCCAAGACAACCAATGCCTCGCAGATTTCTGTTGGAAAATGAATAAACTTGACACTAAATATTATAGTTTACAAATGGATTTGTCCAGCTTAAATAGGACAAATTTCACAGTTGCTGCAAACAACTAAACCATGATGATGCAACAAAGGCTCTTTCATTTATAAAACAAATAATCAGGTCACTTTCGCAAATGAAGCCATTGGCAAAAAGTAAAAATATTCAATGTAATATCAATTTACTAACACCAAATAATCCTTACCGAAAACATTCCATAATGGCACTATGTTTAGATCTTTACTTCAATAGTCAAGTATATTTCTAATCATGCAATGCATTTCATCATCACTCTCTCTGTGACTAATAGTCCTTGCTATTTTGACGTCCGCGTTGGAAGTGTACACTATCTTGCTTAAAGCTAGCGACCAAACAAGAAGGTTACATATTCATATCCTTGTGGCACGTATATCGGTGAGAGATTATGAAGTCCGAAATCTAGTTCCACCTCGGACTGAGTTGTCCACTACCCATGGAAAGGCCACGTTCCTCCCGCTCTGCAACCTCAATGCATTGCAGCAGATAAGCAATGTCAAGGCAACTACGTAGTAACACAAAAGCCTCCAGTAACCAAACGTAAAGTAAGATTTAATTGAAAGGAGAATATAAAACAAATATATATTAGTATTTAATTAAATATATATTTATAAAAGTTTAATAATTTATATTTAATTTAGATTATTCTTTATAATATTAAAAGATTTTGAAATTTTACAAAGTATTTTTAATTTCAAATAGTAGTTTTAAAACAAAGGAATAAATAAATATATACCACATAAATTAATATATAATATAATTCTTATAAACTTAATTTATTAGATATTTCTTTTTAAAAAGAAACAAATATATTAAAGAAGAATTTCAAAGTACATTAAGTTATAAGCAGCAATATAATTATTTAAAGTAATATTTTCCATTATATTTATATAATTAAGATTTGTTAAATATATAAAATAGCACTATATATAGATTTTCCCAACAATTGAATACTAGGATATAAGGCTAGTCGTTGCTTTTGCGTCCCACTGTACTAGGTACTAGTGGAGATAGTACGGAAACTAACCGGAACCCGATATCACCTGGGCAGAGATCGTGGGGGCACCTGGTCTCTTCGCGTCTTACATGCATATGGCTAGTCAGAGATCGCCCGGGTAAATACTCGTTTTCCACTTCCATATTTGGCAACCAATCTCGCTCTGTCTTACATGCATACGACCTTTCGGCAACCCCTGTGTTCTCCACCACCGGCTTACAAAAGTTCTCAGGTACCTGAGACGTCACTTAGATAAATGAATGTTGGGATATGACATTACGATAACTTCTTGTATGAGAAACGTGGTTGAAATAGTATTATCAACCCATTTGCCTGCCTGAGAATCCCCTGAAATAATTGCTTCCAACAGAATCTATCGACACTCACAGAGCAACCGCAACAATGGGATCATCCACTCGATCAGTTGATGAGGTTCTCAAGAGCTTGAATTCCATCAAACCAGAGGACTTCGCAGCCGATGGCGATCGAAGCAATGTCCTTTTGGCTGCGTATGCTCTTGTAAGCCGCCTTGAGACGCCCTGGGAGGCTGTTGCAAGGCTGTGTATGAACCAGGCAAGTCCAAGACATCCCAGGCTTCCTTCTACGAGTATTAACGTTGTGCTATTATGAAGCCTGCTCTTGAAGCCAGCTTGAAGGTGGCCAAAGATTTGCAGTTGTTTGAGAAGTGGCATGAGAGAGGTGATGGGCCAGAAAAAAGTGACACCTTGGCGGACTTGGTTCAGTGTGATAAGCAGCTCTTCTGTAAGTCTTTGCACTTGGACAACAAAATTGTACCCTGAGAATGGGAGAAAAAGCCTCAGCACAGAACCGACCTGACATCAAGTAGCTCGTATTCTGCGGCATTTAGCAGTGAACCATGTTCTTCAAGAAGTTTCAGCAAGTGTGTACAAGCCTACGGCCTTCTCTCTGTCTCTCCTCCAGCCCGTCTTCGGGGAGTGGATCAATTATCTGTAAGTTGAGACCCTACTATCGCAAATTACGACGCTAAACCGCTACCACAGGTATGATGCTGCCATTCCTTGTTTCCATCGGATGCCAAAGTATCTCCAGAAAACACGTTACCAGACGCCTATAGACCCTGATGATGGCGTGTTTCAGTATGCCAAAGATTACAAGGGAGATTTGTTCAAATACTACGCAGATCATCCCAAAGAAGGCGCATCTTTCAACCATGTCATGGGAGGTGTCATGGCCAACCAGGCTAGCTGGGTGAACATTATCCCTGCCGAGGCCTTTATCAATGGTTCGGATCCTAGTCAGCCTCTCATTGTTGACGTAGGAGGAAATGTCGGTCATGATATCGAGAAGTTTCGCAAGGAATTTCCAGAGACGGCTGCACGGCTGTATCTGGAGGACAAGCCCGGAGTGATTGCACTGTCAAAGTGCCCTGACCCCGTGAACAAAATTCCTCACGACTTCTTCCAGCCCCAACCGATCAAAGGTGAGCACCATTGTGTGCCTCGGGCAAAACTTTACGGCTGACAAATTATCACAGGTTCCCGTGTCTACTATATGCATGGTGTTCTGCACGACTGGGCCGATGAGCCGGCTCGCAAGATTCTCCAAATGCTCCGGGATGCTCTGAAGCCTGGTTACAGCAAACTTCTGATTCATGATCACATAGTCCCAGAGGTCTCAGCCCACCCGCATGCAACATCATACGACTTGACCATGATGGTTCTGGTTGCAGGGCTAGAAAGGACCGAGAGCGCCTGGCATGCTCTGCTTCAGTCAGCGGGATACAAGGTCATCCGGGTTTGGAGATCACCTCTGGCAGCTCAAGCTATCCTGGAGGCCGAGTTGGCATAAGTTTCTAAAGGATGGATGGACGCACTGCCAATACTGTATACTGCGTCGCATGACTCCTCACGCAGAACGTTATAGTGTATCCTTAGAATACTATAGTCGATAATATAGCGCAAACCAATTTCATCGTCGACTTGCTTCACACTTTAAACTGTGCTAGAAAGAAGTGAATAACAAGTACAATATATCATATCAGTGCCTCCTAAACTTTTCGCCAATAGCTGAGCAAGAGGCGTGCAAAAGAATAGGGGCCGCAAAGTGATTATGCGCATATCATCGCATTGCAAAAGTATTGCAGCAATTGTTTCTGAACCTTGCTGTTCACTTCTGTGCATTTATCCTGTCCAAATTCATTCACTGTGTTGTTTTGTTTCTGTTCACAAATTTCCTCGTAGGTCACTCTGTTATGCTACGGGCAACATAGATTCAATATTTATGATGTCCTGAACGGTCAACTTTATTACGTATATAACAAAGCCATAGCATCCAGCGCGCAAATTCCTAATTTATGACTACTCTAACCCCTTTACTTTCCTTCTTGGGCATTGGAACAAACAAGTCGTAGTCGTATTTCACATCATCGACACTGGTTTCATACAATTTGGTTCGCGGAAAGACACGCAAGGTCAGAGCCACTACTGATAAGAACAAGTTACAGTACGCGAGACTTGAATATGGATAAATTAGTGGCCATTGCATATCTGTGAATGTGGAAACTTACTTCATTCCCAAGCACACCCTGCTGCCCTTGGAAAACGACGTCAAGCTGCTCTCCATTCGGCGCCGTTGAGCTTCCTCTATGTCGAGCCATCGCTCAGGCTTGAATACATTCGAATCGGGGAACACTTCTTCATTGTGGTGATTGATAGCGTTGGACATGCCCATAGGTGTGCCGGATGGAATAACATATTTGACTTCATGGCCGTTGAATTGGCCCTGGTATATCAGATTTTCTTTAGATGCAATTCTGGGTATTCGGGCTGTGACGCCATAGGAAAGTCGCAAGCCTTCGGTAATGACTGCACTAAGGTATGGCAGATTTTCAAGAGCAACCCATGTTAGGTTGATGGCATCTGCATCTTGTAATTCTTTTGTCAACCGCTCTAAGGTTTCAGGCTGATTCAGGAGGTAAAAAGTGATTACAGTTAGAGTCCACTATGCGAATGTTAGAACTTTGGACTATGTCTGGCCTTGAGCTATCAGTCTTACCGCAGTCGTCTCAGTACCGGCCGAGATCATGGAGAAGCCTTCGCCACCTAGTCGGTAGTCCGTTTTCTCTTCATCTGGCAAAGAAGAGCCGAGTATCGCCGCAAAAATACTCCCACGATCCTGTAGTTTGCCAGACTCGTGCTCTTGTTTAGCTTTGCGTATGCGAGCAGGCATTCTCTCATTCGACTCTGCCAACATTTTTGCGATATCCTCTCTCATCAATTTGGCAAACAGCGGAGCAATATTGGTGAGAATCTTCAGAGGCGGGAAAAAACGGAAAACGTACGTAGTTCCGAGAATCGCTCCCAAAGGTTCCCTGAAATTTGGATACCAAGTTTCCTTCAAATAATTCTTTCAGCACGAGTTGATATATATCTCTTCCAATGAGAATCATTCTTACCTGCGATATAAATCCAAAAGGCTCTCCAAAGCAGTAGCCCGAAATGACATCTGAAGTGAAACAGCTGTAGGATGTGGTCACGTCCAGTGGATCTCCATTTTGTTCCCCTTTTACTGTTAGAAGCTGTCTCGGAATCTTGTTCTTTGTCATATGACCTACCTAAACGTATCATCTTGTCACATAGCTGGTCGACAAGCTCCCTGATATTGGATTCAAGCTTCAAAATTTGTGCTCGTGAGAAAAACTTGTTCATCGCGCTCCGTCTGATCCGATGATGATCGTGATCCAGGGTGGCGAACATAGACGAAACGATTGGCCCAGCGACAAAGTTCAAAAAGTGTTGCTGTTTATCACGCTTGCGACCTCCGCCGGCATAGATCTCATCAACAAACGCAATGTCATCAAAGTGCAGCTCCTCGGGATTAATGCGCACAACAGGACCTAGTTGACAACATCAGCCATGGCTACTGGCGTTTCCACACCATATCATTTTACCATAAATCTCATGCATTCGTTTAATCTCGTGCGTGTACCTCCCATGTAGAATTAGATCATACCAGGCTTCATAGAGGAACGTCGCAGCTGCAAGCTTCGGACCAGGTATGTGGCTCAGAGGATGAAAGGGTGAAATATTATATAACGCCCAGAGTATATAATACGCTATCCACAGACCAGCAAGACCTATGAGATTCGTCTGTGTAAGAAATCCATTAAGGATGCCCAATACAGCTGGGACACCCATCTTAGAATGTAGATGAGTTCAATGTGTTGGAGGTTGTCATTGACGTTTCGAGAGTTTAATATGTTTCTCAGACGCTGAGGTTGGTTGTTAGATACACACTAACCATTTCCGATTGTCAGCAGGTTCTGCGATTTTTGTATACTAGTAGCAGCTACTGTAATACTTTATGGGGGATATGTTCCGCTAGCCAGCGAAGTCTCCGATAAAGGCGCCTTTTGTCTTACCTCCTTGTACCAATGCAAGTTGATCCAACAGGCACTGAGTTGTCACTGTGTATTTGCTTAACTATGGCACTGTTTTGGAATTGTTTGTTAGAGACAGCATTACTTTTTATTAGTTAACCAGGTTAGTAAATAACAAACTGTTTACAACTACTTTATTATACACCACTAAAAAATATATAATCATTATATTTTCCAATAATCACTATAAATAAGTATATATATATATATATAATATTGAAATTGGAGTTTTCTTAATATTTTAATATTTATATATAACTACGCTATGTACTTAGTTTATTGTAAATTCCATTGCTGAATTTATTGATAATGTAAATAAAAGTATTATATATAAACTTCCAAAAGCTTCGTGAAGGTAATTGATTTAGAATTTAATTTTATTAACATATTATATCTTTAATAGTTAACGAGTTATTTTATAGGGTATTTATTAACCTTGGATTATTTATTTTTGTGATCATGAGGTATACAGGGTAAGCTAAAGTTGTCAATGCAATGCGGGATGAATGTGGGTCTGAAATAACACGTTACTTTATCGTGGGGGTGGATTCTGCATTAGACATGGATGACGAGCTCCACAAGAACGACAACGGCCCGTCCTGCATGGGTAGCCAAACTTGCATGGATCGTTAACCCTGCAAGCTGCAGCAAGGGTATATTCAGCCCCCTGTCATGCATCGTCAAAGTTACAGTACTCGACTCAAGATAGCATGACTCCTTTGGCCGGATTACGAATGTTGCCGAGCCGGCAATAAGCACATCATCATCATCACGAATTCTGAGCCAATCTTGCCCATGTTCTCTCCCGCCCTTTCCTCCTCCCTGGTCATTGGTGGTTCGACTGGTCTAGGCTGACATCCATCACACCGCACTGCTGCTTAGAAGACGATAAGCCCCCGAAGTGTCCGGATGCTGTTCGTCGACTCGAATTGTTCTGAAATAGCGAGACGATCTGTCCTTGACCTACCACAATTCCATGGGTCACTAAATACGGATAATGAGACTAACAGAGGCATACGTCAAGGCGGCACTGCAAGGTGCTACGCCTGCGGCTGTGTGCCTAGTCGCCGCTTTGGCATTATTATCCGTCATTCTTTACCGGCTTTATTTTCATCCTCTCAAACACATTCCTGGCCCGCTGTTAGCAAGGACATCTTCAATTTTCCTCTATGTGATCAGCTACCTGGGCCTCGAAGCCCGTGTCCTTCGCCATTATCACAAAGTTTATGATACAAAAGTGCTACGAGTAGCACCAAACTCAGTTTCTGTATCTGATGGCGCTTCTATTCACACTATTTATGTGGCTGGGGGTGGGTTTGCGAAGGATGCCAGATACGCCAACTTCAACATGGGACCTGTAACTACCATTTTTTCGAGCCTGGACACCGATTATCGTGACTTGCGCGCCAAGGCTGTTGCGCCCCTTTTCTCAACAGCTCGTCTTCGCACTGCTTCTTTACATGGAGGTGTTATCCATGAATGTGTCTCAGAGTTTGTCACCCAGCTCGCTAGTCTCAAAGCCGACTGCAAGACGAACCATGCCAAGTTGGATATCCTAGACCAGTGCGCCCGTCTCTCTCTGGACGTTGTGACTGGCTATCTGCTGAACGAGCCGTACGGTGGTCTGGCCGAGCACCAGCAACTTCCCATGGAGAAGCGGCGGGATGCCAAGCTCAGCATAAACCCATTCATATTCGCCATTGTGGGGTTTTCGCGCTTCTCGTTGCTTCCAAACTGGCTTTTCAAATTCATGTACTCTCTCTACAGCCGCTTTAGCTTCAGCGAGGAAGTGGGCAGATGTTTTGCCAGCATGGACTCGTTTGCGCGTCGTCTAGTCAGCCAGACTCTTGAAGTCGATCCCGCCAAAAGGCAAGACTCGTACCAAACTCGACTTTTGGCAGCGGGAATTACACCTTCGGAGACCGAAGTTCAGTGCCAGGCCGTCGTATTCGCCGGTTCTGACTCCACAGCCGTTAAGTTGGCCACAATTCTGTTTCATTTGGTGCAGAATCAGGACTGCCTGCGCCGACTGAAGGAAGAACTGCAGGCGGCAGAGACTGAAGACGAAGGCTTAGCCCTGCAAGAACAGCCATACCTACTTGCTGTCATCAAGGAAGGCTTGCGAGTGGGTATGGCTAATCCAACTCGCATGACACGAGTTGTTCCCGCCAAGGGCATGTTAGTCGGAGATGTCTACATCCCACCAGGTACTATTGTTGGAGTTGCGCCGTATATTGTGCACCATGATCCAGCTGTATTTCCAGATCCATTTGCATTCAGGCCTGAGAGATGGCTCGAGGGTGGTAGGGACAATGGGTTGAAGAGACCCAATATGGACAGGAGCTTACTGATGTTTGGAGCTGGTTTGCGAGCATGTATAGGAAGAAACCTGGCGCAGAAACAGTTGACGGAGACGATTAAGGCCGTTGTGAAAAGTAGTGTGCTTGAAGGTTCGCGGACTTGTGAGACGCGTATTGAGCTTGTGGAGTGGTTTAACGCCGAAATTAAGGGGCATACGCTAGACATTGAGTGGCCTTGATACTACAATATGTATAGCATGAATTACTGAAATCCCCCTACCTAAATGTAACATTGAACCGCTGGGAACAGCTACTTAGGCGGGTGATGGTATAGTATACTACGTAGATTTAGGGGTTAATAGCAGTTGCCTTTAACGAACAAATTTTATACAACGTGGATTACAAAGTGAAGATCTACTGTATACACAAGGGAATACTTCATAGTTTACCAAAGACTTTTATTATGTTATGTATACTCTCAACTAAGTCAATTATAATATATATAATAAATATATCCAAGAAGCATCTTATACAACATATAACGTTATAAATTCCTAAATTTTAATATTATTATTTAAAAATTATAACGGGTTGTTTAGTAAGAAAAATATTTACTTTAGGCTAAGTGGTGCAGTTTCGTATTTAACCTGTGAGACAACGGCAAGTCTTGCAGCACGGCGCGGCACGGAATTACTGCGCACAACGCGGTAATACGAAGAGAAAAAAAAAATGTTTATGAATGAGGCGCAGCTTGTGAATGTAGAAACACCTTGCGGCTGACTGCAAGGTAGACAAGACAACTGCTACATTAACTGTGGAGCCGGAACTTCTGCCATAATAGGTAAAGTGCATCAGAATGTCACTTGGGCATTGCAACCTCAAGGGCAGGGCTAGCGAGTATGACGTAGTAAATCGTGATTGGACTGGTGGAAACACAGGACGGGAAGAAGGATCAACTGATCAAGTAATCAGAGTCTCTTCGCTTTCAACTGTCAACTCGAGTACCACTGGTATATCATATGTCATTTCCATCATGATCCTATACAACGTCTCGTGATGACGCTCACCGCCGGCTTGATGCTTCAGATCCGCGGACTTCAGTAGATCTTGTGGTTCTAGAATCATCACAGCTATTACTAATGCGAGTCATGCATTACATCGAGGAGTTAGCAGCCACATTATCTCCGCCATGACTAGGAAGTCAGGCAATGCACTGTTAGTGCCCTCCTTTAACTTGGGCCGCAATGTGTCTGCACTACTGCAGGTAGTCCTGTTAACGAGGAAAGTGTCGATGTGTTTATCTCAAGTAGCTGTGCAGGATACAACTCAATGAATATCATTTCTCTCTTTGGCACACAGATTTGGTGCAAGCCGCGTTTATCGCAACAGGTCAACTTGTTTCACCAACCCTGATCATTATCTCCTCACTGCATACGCTGATTTGCCAAATATTGCGAATATTGATAATGAGATTATGAAGTGTTTTGTAATAGATTTGACATAGAGAAAATTGGTCTCTTCCAACGCCGCCATGTCCACATCCATGTTGGTTTGCAAACAGGCACGCTTAGATCGCTTCTTCTGAAGCCCCAGACTCTTGTCCTCCAGTATTGTACTTTCGAGCGCCCTGTAGCACAGTGCCACCATCTCGCATAGACTCATGCCAAAGATACAAGCCTCTAGTGAACCTTTGAAAGCATCCTCTCAAGTGTCTACTCCAAAGATAGAAGGCAATTGAATGTTGAATTTACTATGTCATCACTAATAAACAACTCCTCTTCAGGTGTTCATTGTGTGTTTATGGCTTAACATGTTCTAGCTCTTTACAAAACAACCACCGAGTGGCTTTGCCCAGGTCCTTTGCTTCCCAATTGTTCAATCGAGCCGGGTAAAGTGGCAATTTGTCACCCAGGGAGTCGTCGTGTGCGATAAGAACGAAAATATTGCCGGCAGCGTCTAGTTCCTGAATCTTGGCGACAGTGTCCACGGCTGCATCATGATCAGGGAACAAGGGCCCACGGGCCACTTCGAAAAAGGGCTCTTGGAGACTCTTCTTCCATTTACCCAGTTGCGTTAGCAGATCTCCTGGACAACCGCCGTAGCTGCTCAGATACTGTGATCCTGAAGATGTCGGCTGGGGAAGAGTAAGATACTGCGATGGCCGTAGCACACCTGGGTGATGGCACGCATCGGCACCCATGAAAACAAAGGACGGTGGATCGACAGTCGTGCGTGCCAGAGCACACATGTGTCCGGTAGCATGACCTGGGGCATTAAGGAGGTAGAAAGACCCATCGCCGAAATAGTCGAATGCATCAAAACGGCCAACTCGCAGCCCTGTGTTGTCGAAACTGATCTCGCGTACAACCCGGCCAGCAGCATCGCTGTCGAGCACAACACTGTCGGGATTAGACGGGTAACCCGGCCATGAGCTTGCCTTGACGCCGGGCCCGACAATGAGCTGTGTGCTGGGTGGAAACCGTGACGGATCCCCCGCGTGGTCAAAGTGGCTATGAGACCACACAATTGCCTCAATGTCAGAGCTACGAATACCCAGGCCGCTGTCGTCGTCATCAAGCAAGGACGCAATGTCCTTGTCGCCAGTTGAAACCGTCGTAGTAGCCTTGACGAGCTTCACTATATTGGGCGCATAGTTCTCCCAGTCGGTACGCACCCCAAGATCAAAGATGATGTGTCGGTTGCCGTGAGACACAAGAAAGCAGTAAACGGGCGCATTGGGTCCCTCGAAGCCTTCTAAAATTGGCTCCCAGAATACCCCCGGCTTCAGGTACAGGCGTGTATTGCTGTGTGTTGTGCATGTGCGATTAGATGGTTGTACGACTCAAGTCTAAAATCTTGACCAAAGGATAGAATTCACGTACGTATCAAGAACCCTTACATCCACGATACTCGAGGATGTTGGGACCTTGACATCAAGCGGAGACGAGGCGCCAGCCAGATGTGACTGCTCTGAAGAGTCCATGTATGCGGGGAGGCCGTAGTTTCAGCAGGAGCTGATCAAGAGCAATGCTAATTGAAGGTGGGTGGAAAAATCGGCTGATGTGACGGGGTTAGGCGAAAAGTAGAGAACCAAAGGTATTGTACTTCGCAGGAGTGTCTTTCGAGAGTGGCCTGCTTGTCCTTTAGCATTGGGTCATATATTACCTAGAGTATTATGAGGCCGAATTGGTAAATAATGCATGGATGAGAACCGGGGCTCTTTACAAGGGTAGTGAGCAAGGCTCTATTGATTTCAAATATCTCGTTCATGGGACAAGATGAAGTGGAGAAATACATCGCATATTATAATATAATAATATCAAGAGATTATTTGGTGAAAATAATTGTAAAAGATTTGGTATCCTTGTATTGTTCAATGTATTATTGGCCAATATAATTTAGTATTACTTATTTTTGTTCTTAATTTTTTAAAATATTATGTAAATATTAAGGAAAATAAAGCATTAAAAAAATAAATTTGTAATTAGTCAATTATTTTTATAAATTATTATTATAAAGCGACCTTATGAATATCAGTTAATATAAACAAAGCTTGGATAATAGTATAATATACAGTATAGAGGTAGATGACCCAGGACCGTGGTGCCGTTTCCCGCCCCCAAGTGTTCCATGCCTATCGCAGCCTTGTTGAAGATACATGTACCACGGACAAATCGGCATAACCGATCCTCTTGCTTACGCTGTGAGGCCGAGCAAACTCCCAGGTATGTTGGCTAAACAAAGACAGTGGTTCTCGTCTAGTAGCGTACTGCACTACACCTTGAATCAGACCCTTGACTTTTTTCACCCAGCTCATCCTTCAAGTCCTTGACTTTGCCCACCCATCTCCTCCCTCATGTCCTTGGACTATTCTCACCCATCTCATCCTTCAGACAACATGGCTGCCTCCCTGCTAGGAGTCAGCTTACAGGACAAGGTCAAGCCTCCTTTCAGCTGATCCTTTCAGCTGAAAGGATGGGCAACCATCGTCGTCCAAAAAATAACTCGGGCTGTTGATACAGACGATGAGGACTATTAAAGGGGGTTGTCTGCTCAACATCACTTCCTTTGAATCTGCAGCTTCGAGCCGCGTCTTCGTGTTATTTACTACTTCATTGAGCATATTTTCCTCTGCTCTTCACCGACAACTTTGAATCATGGCCAAATCGAAAGCTCTCGCCGTCCTGGCGGCCATCTCCAGATGCGGGCTTGTTATTGCAGCTCCTCTGGAGACGGCTCCGGATCTTACTTTTGACTACGTCGTCGTTGGTGGCGGGCCTGGTGGATTGACTGTTGCCACTCGGCTGTCTGAGGACCCAAACGTCTCAGTTGCCATTATTGAAGCTGGCACCTGGTCTCAGTCAGTGACGGGTAACCAGAGCCAGGTCCCTGCGTACGATTTCTTCTACAATGGGAAATCAGCCAATGACACGAATCCCTTGGTTGAATGGGACTTTGTCACGTCGCCACAGGCCGTATGTTGCCCGACTGTTACCGCGTCACAGTTGCTGAGTTATTAACTGGCTGTTTTAGGGAATCAATGGGCAATCCGTCCACTATACCCGCGCAAAGTCGGTAAGCAAAACTATACCATGACATTCACACTGTTGGGCTTCGTGAGAAGAGAGCTAACAAACAATGTGTCAGCTCGGAGGGTGCACGAACTTGAACTACATGGGCTATACGCAGACTGCCAAGGGGGCCCTCCAAAAGTGGGCGGACACCGTGGGAGATTCGTCATACGCCTGGGAAACGGCATCGAAATACTACAAGAAGAGTCTGAACTTTACTGGGGCGATCGAAAATCGTGATCTGAGAAATGTCACGACATCTGAATCCCCTGGCTCGATCTCTGTCGACGGACCTTTGCACGTATCATATGCTTCATGGGCGCAAAGCTTCAGCACATGGGTGGCCTTGGCCATGGATTCGGAGGGTATCCCCTCAACCGACGCCTTTATCAACGGCAACTTGAACGGTTCTTCGTGGCTGACTTCGACAATCAACCCCACCAACGGCCACAGAGAGTCGGCAGCGACGGCTTATCTCCAGCCCGTGTTGAGTCGCCAAAACCTGAAGGTCTTCGACCTCACCCTTGGCGAACGTATCCTCTTCGACGCCAACAAGACCGCAGTAGGTGTGCAAGTCACCACAGGAAACCAAACATATACTCTTAATGCGAAACGAGAGGTCATTGTATCCGGTGGCACGTTCATGTCGCCGCAGTTGCTGCAAGTATCAGGCGTCGGACCAGCGGACCTGCTGAAGAAGCACAACATCCCCGTTGTGGCAGACCGACCAGGTGTTGGTCAGAACATGGGTGATCACGTCTTTTTCGGCATTGCGTATCGTGTTAACCTCGAAACTGCGACCTCGCTAGAGGACCCTGCCACCATGCTGCAAGCCGAGGATCAGTTTAACCGCGACGGTACTGGACCACTGTCCAGCCCGGGAGGTGACTACGCTGGATACGAAAAGATCCCACAGTCTCTGCGCAGCTCGTTCTCAGCCGCGACTCTCGAGGAACTAGCTGAAGTTCCTGCCGACTGGCCCGAGATGCAGTACCTGACCCTGCCTACCTTTGTCGGAGATTTCGAATCAGCCACTGCTGCTTCTCCGGATGACGGCTTCAAGTATGCAACTCTACTGGCAACCCTGATTGCTCCATCTTCGCTGGGCAACGTGACCATTGCTTCGCCAAACATGTCTGATAAGCCGATCATCAACCCCAACTGGCTTACAACGCAGCGGGATATCGAGCTGGTTGTTGCTGGATTCAAGCGTATACGACAGATTTTGGAGGCTCCTGTTATGGGCAACATTACCATTGGCCCAGAATACTACCCAGGCTCCGCGGTACAGACTGACGATGAGATTCACGCTCAAGTCCAAACCAGTTTCAATACTATGTACCACGCCAGCGCCTCATGCAGGATGGGCAAGTCTAGCGACCCGGACGCAGTGGTGGATACCCACGCCCGTGTGTACGGAGTGAAGAACTGTGAGTATTGTCCTTTGAAGCTTGAGATTATTAAACACTGACAGTGGGGAATATCTGCAGTGCGCGTTGTTGATGCCTCGGCTTTCCCGTTCGTCCTTCCTGGACTCCCGCAAGCCTCAGTCTGTAAGTGTCGACATGCTCAATGAACCCAATGCAAGTCCTTAGCTAACCTTGACACAGATATGTTGGCTGAGAAGATTGCCGATGACATCAAGAATGGCAACTGAGAGGAGTCTGGGTTGGCGGCTTCGGCGTCTCTTTTATCCCCTTCGTATATTTGCCTAATATTTATGTAGCATTACTTCATCTTTAGATATGTGACGTAGAGTAATATGAAGATTCAGATCGCTTGTAGTATGCGCTGTTTAATGTTCTCGCAGTGATGCCTGGTTGAAATGAGGATTGTGAAACTCTCAAGTATCTTCGTTTTGACATGTACCAATCAATCCTCGCTTGTTGAGTGACACTATTCCGTGTGATGCGACTTTGCGAGAATATATGGTTGATCCAATCCAGAGAAAAAGAAAGGGAAGAACGGAAGCTGATCAGATATGGTTCAGATCCAATGGTTTTTAGATGAAGATATGGCTAGAATTGTTCTTGGGGGTTGAAAGGGGTTATCTATGTGGAAGAAACTCGAGATTCACGATCTTGGAAAGAAACAGTCTCAACACTTAGGCTGTGAATCTTTATGAGCTGGAGAGGTTCAAGAGCAGTAGTAGCGACATTGGACACAAAGCCATCATGTATTTCTATTCTAGTACACGGTCTGGTATACTATAGCCTCCTACATTCTAGCAACCATCATATGCTCTCACCAGAAAATGGTGGGACCTCATATATGCGTCCAATACGCCCCATCAGTACTTATTGGGGTGCCGCTACAAACTCTCTGTGTATATCGTGAAAGTAATCTCGAGGAGACGCCCACTATCGGCGGCTACGCCTCCAATTCACACTGATTCAGAGGGTTTATATGGACGTTGGCTGGTTTGCATTCGGGAATTTCATGGCATTTGTACGCCCGATCAAGAACGACTTGCCAGTGACGTTGGGGTCCGCCGGGATGAAGTTGTGCGGGAAACCAGGGTTGAAGGGGTGGACGCTCTCAAGGTACTCGATTTGCGCTGGAGTAAGTTTGATGCTCAGCGCTTGGATGTTGTCCTGGAGGTGTTGGACTTTGCGGCCACCAACAATAGGGAAAACGTTGGACGCCTTGGACAAGACGTAGGCGAGGGCGATAGATGTGACCGACTCGGTGCCGTGCTCGGCAGCAACTTTGGCCAGCGCCTCGCTTACCTTGACCTCATCCGCATTCTGGTGGGCAGGCTTTCCTGCGAAGCTGCGAAGCGCCTCGCCTGACTTCTGGCGTCTCTCAAGCTCAGCCTTGGACTGGAACTTACCGCCGCTAAGGACATCCCATCTATTTTGAGGAGCCGACGCGTTAGCAGCAAGTCATCCAATGTTCTTGTCTTTACAGGGTTCAAAGGGGACACTCACGGTGCAAGCGCCATGCCGAATTGGCGAGCCATGGGAATAATATCCCGTTCGAAGTCTCGGTGCAATAGATTCCAACGGCCCTGATAGATACTGAAAGGTGTCTTTCCGTGGTCGATGGCGTAGGTGTTTGCGGCAGCAACTATCCAAGCAGGGGTATCCGATGCGCCAAGATACAGAACTTTGCCTTGCTGAACAAGAACGTGAAGAGAATCCATAAGTTCTTTGATGGATGTGGTGTAGTCCCAGTAGTGAACGTAGTAAATGTCTAATACGTAGTGAATATAAGCTCCGGTTTCTCATGATGGTTACGGACAGGATTCGGACGGTCAAACCACTTACCAATATAATCAGTCTGCAATTTTTTCAGCGAATCACGCACACTGACGTGAATACTGTGGCGAGAGTTGCCGGCGAAGTTGGCAGATGGGACTCCAGTGCCTTGAGCGTGGCTGCGATAGTCCATGCTGAATTTGGTTGCCAGGACCACAGAATCGCGATTCTTACGGGCTGTCAGCCATTCACCGATCCACGTCTCAGACTGTTCGTTCTGGTAGTTATTGGCAGTGTCGATGAAGTTACCACCGGCCGCGTAGAAGGCGTCGAGAAGCTTGAAGGCGGCGTCCTTGTCCATAGAGCCCATCATACCGGCCCAGGCGTCGCCAATGGACATGCCGCCTAGCTGCAATGGGGAGACTCGGACGCCTGCGGCAGAAGAGAGGACGCGGAGGCGGCCGAGCTCGGTGGGAGGGGTTGGTTCAGCCATGATTGAAAGTTGTTGTGACGGTGGTGGTGATGATGCTGGTGAAGAACAAGGCGACTTCTTGTTGTTGCCAACCGAAAACACTGATGTCTCGTGAGACTGGAGAATCTGTTGAGATAACCACGACGGGAAAGAGAACGGTAAATATTCCTTCTTATCCTTGAGTCTTGAAGAATGAGTTGCTTCTTCAAGGGAGGAATCTGAGTTGGAAGCCACTAGGCAAGATGATATATATAGCTTTTGCAAGAGTTAGTATGTAAGGCGTGGATAAGACAGACGGCCTTATGAATTAACTCCGACTGATGGATGGACAACCAATGCAACAAACGAGTCATAGTGTGGTATTTGGGGGGTTGTATACATTGTGGGTACGTGTGATAACGCAATCCGTGATGTAATGCAAAAGGGTTGTCACAAGATCAATGCTACAACGCAACCTTCTGTAGTATTTTGAGATTGTCCCCTAGGAATAACTTGCATAAGTATACAAAGTGCAATGTAACTTTCCGTAGTGTTTTGAGATTGTCTGCGGGGAATAACTTGGACAAGTATACAAATTTTAATGTAATTTTTTGTAGTATTTTAAAATTGTCCCCTAGGAATAACTTAAATAAGTATACAAAGTATAATATAATTTTCTATAGTATTTTAAGATTATTTCTTAGGAAGGACTATTATTTAAAATAAGAATAAAAATATAAAGGTAAAATATTTAAAATAATTATTAATGAAATTATTGATTATAAATAAAAGTAATAAAGTTTAGTATTTTTATAATTAAAATAATTTATATAAATACTTTATATACTTTAGGAAATAATAAATAATATTATTTATTATTATAATTTAGTTTTTATAATAAACTAGTCTATACTAAATAGTATAGGGTAGTTTCTTAAGGTAATAAATTAATTATAGTTTATATTATATTATAACCTAATCTAAAGTATATACTTACTAGGTAAAGTATAAAGGAAGTAATTAATTAAAATAAATTTTAAGAAACTTACTAAGATATATACTTAATAATATATAAGCTTTAAATTTAAAGTAATAGGCTTACTATATATAAGGAAATATTATAAAATAAGTTATTTAAAATAATTAAATATATAAAATTTAATTTTTTATACTTTTTAAATAACTTAAATAAATAATTATTAATAAAATATTAAAATTAAATATAAACTAAATTTTTATTATATTTTTATTACGACCTGACTCTTATAGTTACGACAATGGGCCTATAGGGTAGCTGGATCTAGATAAACGTTAGACCGACTAATCAATTAGGAATAGATTATTAGATTATTTAATAATCTAACGATTTATTAATAAATTATTAGAACTCTAAGATAATCTACGATAGGATTATTTACACTTGTTGATAATTTAGCTTAGTTAACTAGGTATATAAGTTCACTTTATATTACTTATTAGAATACTTAGATAGCTAGTTATTATTACTATAGTAATTAAATTAAACATTTAGACACTTTACTCTACAGTTAGTAATAAAATTACTCGTCTACTGACCTAACTGCTTCGCTAACATAAACTATAGAACTACTCTAAGGTTTGTCCCTTGGAAACAGCTAACCTATAGTGCCTATAGGACCTGGTTCGTTATAATTTTACTTATTTTATAATTATATTTACTTAAAACTACTTTTTATTTTTTTTATTAATATAAATTAATTAACTTTAATTTATTACTTTAGGAACTTACTTTATATTATTTAAGTATTAGGTTAGGATATTATATATTAATAACTTTTATTTAAAAAAATATTAAATTTCTTTAAGTAATAAATTAAATTATTATAACTAAAGAATTAAATATTAATATTAAAAAAATTACCTTTAATATTAATTTTACTTTTATTACTAAATTTATTTAATTTATAAATATTAATAAAACTTTATTTTTATTAATAAACTTAAATAAAATAAACTTAAAAAAATTACTTTAAAGAAATACTTTTAAAATATATTTTATATTAATAAATAATTTCTTTATTATAAAATAAAATAAAAAAATATAAAAGTTATAAAAATAAAAATAAAAATATTATAAAACTTAAATATTTATAATATCCTAATCTAATACTTAAATAATATAAAGTAAATTCCTAAGGTAATAAACTAAAGTTAATTAGTTTATATTAGTAAAAAAAATAAAAAGTAGCTTTAAGTAAATATAATTATAAAGTAAGTAAAATATAATAAAAATTTAATTTATATTTAATTTTAATACTTTATTAATAATTATTTATTTAAATTATTTAAAAAATATAAAATATTAAATTTTATATATTTAATTATTTTTAATAACTTACTTTTAAAATTATAAACTTAAGTATAAAATTATTATTTTATAAGTAATTTTTTAAAGTAGTTTATAATAAACTTATTACTTTTATATTAATTAGTTTTT